ACTGCATTTTAGTTCCTTAAACAATCTACAATAAACACACTAATATGGGATCTTTTTACAGATGCTGTATGACAGTTCCCACAATTTGGGATGAAGAGGAGCAATACCAGTAAGTGGTGATATAGGTCCCTTCAGATGGTGTTATGGCAATACCACTTGCAGTCATTTCACCTGGAGTGTTATTGAAACACCACAGTGCTGTCAGACACATGTGCTAAACTTCATATACTCTCTTTCAGACAAAACCTTGAAGTCTCCTTTGCCACCGAAGCTCCTTCCCCCTTCGCCCCAGCCTGCCCTGCAACCAGCAGGATCTGCCTTCTCCTGCTCTGTCTTCACCTTTGCTCACCAGCCCATGCCAGGAACTGGGGCAGCTGCAGCAGTCCTCGCAGCTGGCACCACAGGAATGATACAATGGTAAGAAACCTCGCATCCCCCAACCTCTTTTTTTTTTTTTTCCATGAAAAATAATTTGACTTTTGGCATTTATTTTTGTTTGAAATAATGTAGGGAAAGCATACTTGAATGATAATTGCACACAAATACTCCCTGTCAAGCGAGACAGGAGAAACCCACTGAAGCAGCGCAGGAGGTAGCATGATCTTCCCTACTTTTTCTTTTTCTTTTCTCCTTTCTCTGCTTTCGAGCATATCAAGCAGAGCTACAGCACACCAGAATGGCACTTCTGTTTCAGCCCCCTCCTTCCTCCCCTGCCAAGTCCCTCGGAGGGCAGCTGCGGGCTTCCTTCTCCCCTGCGTACGTCGTAGTCTTGTCCTAAGTTTTTTCCTACTAGCAATCCTTACCCCCTCCTCTGCGTTGTTAACATTTCCTATTGCTTACTTTTAAAAGCTGCCTGCTTCTCCATTGCCTAGTATCTGCAACTAATCTAAGTGTCTTGCTGCAGGGGTTAAAAACCAGACAGAAGTTTGACATCTTGTAAGTAAATTAAAATTAGGGGGAGAAAAGGACAATTACTAATTTACTCTATGGAGCTTGCCAGCTTTCAGATGCATGGGGAAAAACACTTATGGGGTTGAGGGATGATGAACATTTTTAATAGTAATACATTTTTTAATTCACTAACAGAGAAGATACTAGTCCTGATGCAACTCCTCCTTGACATACTGGTCAGGAAACTTCTAGGAACAATACTGAGTTTAACTGCAGAAATTTGAGAGCTGCTTCAGATGTAAGTATATCAGTTCTGGTACAACTCCAGTGAAAAAATAACTTAAAATATGTTAAAATAAAAAAGCAGGAGAAAAAAAAAAGCAAGTGCTTTTAATCATAGGATACTAAACAATCAGTGCCCTTCATGCTCTTATACATTTTTATACAACTATGAATACTTTTATTTATCTAGAATTCTATTTTTTTGGTCATTTTTTCACTTGTGTCTGCTTTTTTTTTGCCATTTATGACTTCAGTCCTTCAACAAAAAGACATAAGTTTTGCAATAACTATACCATTTTGTTTCTGGTCTTTCTAACTCCTTTCTGGTGAGGCAGCCTGGTTTGTTTACATTTTTTTTTTCATGAACTCAGGCTGAGGAAATTCTCATATGGTGTGCATCTCAGGGGAAGGGGCATCTCTGTTTATCTACAGGATGGAAATTGTTTAGCCTTTGTGGTTTCTGAAAGATGTTTGTAGACAAAATGGAGCTCAAAATACAGCCTAATCCACAGTGAAATATTAGTTCTCCTTTCCTGTCAACTTTCCTAAACCAAGATTTCGCCTTGTCTGTGAACATTCCCTTGAAGAGGGCAGCTTGGATGGCTTCCATGTCCTAAGTCTTTGATTTGTGGCAGCTAAGATCAAGTGGGAATAGAGCTTGTTACAGTAATCCATCAGTGGTATAACACATGCAGGAACATCCCAAGGAGGGAGACCTTGGGCGTCATGGGGAAGGTTAAGGCTGTAATTTCTCTTAATGTGATTTTGTCTGGCCTTTACAGAATTTCATCCGCTTTGGGCAGGGCCACAAGATCAGCAAACCACAGACTGAAAGACTGTGCTCAGTTTTGCATGCTCTTAGACCTAAAAATTTTTTATAAGTGACAGCATTAGGTTAAGCTTTCTTCCACTTTCTAAGACTGAAAAATAGAAGATTCACTTGAGAGTACACCATACATGGTAGTGTGGATTTTGGAAAACAAGGGCTCTTCTCTTTTATGGTAATTTTCATTTTAGTGATGAACTTGGTCGCAATCTAAAAAAAAGTGAAATAACTTCTTAACAAAGAGAGGAAGCACAAAATGAGAAACTAATATACCTAAATGTTAAGAGATGAAGAATCACTCAAAGAAAAAAAACAAAAAAACAAAAAAACCTTCCAAACATGAGAAACTAACCTCAGTGAAGGTGATAAAACAGAGCCTAAACATAGGCTGTACAAGAGGAAAATTAGGAGAACAGAGATGGAATCCAAAGAGCAAATATCTAAGGGTATAAAACAAAATCCACACATTTCGTTATGGTATCAAAAAAAAGAAAATACATAGGAGGTCCTGGATCACTGGGGGTGAAAGAAACTGAGGAAGACAAAAGTTAGGGAAGGAAAGCAAGATGACTTGTTTTCATCCAACTTCACCGCAGAGAAAGTTGCGGAGAAACCTATTCTGATACCTGCCTTTATTTTTCTGCATTTTATTTTTTAATAGACATGAACAAATAGCAAGGTTCAAATACTTGCTAGCAGAAACAAATATGTTGGAGGAGGATGATATCTTACAAAGCAGTAAACAAGCAGAAGACAAGAATTCTGACAGCAATTGAAATAAAGAAATTGAGCCACTGGCTAAAATGAGTATGCTTTCACTACACTTAGTAACTTAAAGAATGAGAGGATAGCAAAAGTTTCACCTATCTTTACAAAAGCAGCAAGGCTGATTCAGGAGACAGTAGAGCTCCTAGCTTTATTACTATACCTGGTAACCTGGCTGAAAGGATGAATAACAGGAAATTAAATACATCACAATAATCACTAGATTCTGAATATGTTTATAAAATAGTGGACAGGTAAGAGCAAGTAAAGCAAACTAGACTTTCGAAATCTTTACAAGAGCCTCATGGGAGGCCACTTATGAAGTGTGAGGTTAGGAGAGCAAAAGAAAAGAAAGAATACATATTGATTCTCATCTGATGACAGGGTTAAGAGCAGGTGTCTCATGGTCTGTACTTTGTATTTCAAAATTATCTGGAAACAAGGAAGCACACTGAGAGGGTAAAATCTACAGATGGCAAGAAATTATTCAGATTAGTCCTGATTTAAGATTATTAGAGGTTTGAGAGATAAGCAGTAAATCTGCTTCAGCAGATCATGGTCATTACTGTAGATTGCAATGAAGCTCACACTGCAGGCAGTATCAGACTCCTTTGCGCATCGGCCTGAGTTCTGAATTGCCCGATCAGCTCAGGAGGTTGCCTGGATGTCCTCGTGAACTGCCTAAAGACAACGACTGTCAAAAGGACAGCAGTAGTCAAAAAACCCAAAGAAAACCCCAGGACATATAACAAAAGATAGCACAAGCAGAAGAGACAAACATAGTCAGCATATAACATTTATAAGGAGAGGCTGGAATACTGTGTTTGCTATTGTTTAACCCATTCTAAAAGATAAGATGGAGAAAAGTGTGGAAATGGCCTCAAAAAAAAAAAAATGTAGAAGAATTATTTGAGACTTAGAGAAGGATCCAAGCAGCCTGGTTTAATTTGGTCTTGCACTGAAAAGGGTGTTTGGACCAGATGACCTTCAGAGGTCCATTCCAACCTAGGTTATTCTACGGAAGAGAGGGATAAAAAAGGTTTTGACTGTTCAATATCTTCAGACAGTAAATCCTGAAATTGGCAAATTCAAGAGCAGAAAAAAATTAGATGATGAATTCATTGTCACAAGAACTGCCCTAGGAGCCAAAATAAGATTTAATTTTTGGAGTTTTTAAAAAATTGTATTATACAGGGTTCTCCTCTACCCCCCCCCCCCTCCAATATCCAAACAAGATGGCTTTGGGGAAAGAAATCATTCCTCCATTTTAGGTATATAATCAGTATTATGGCTCACGAAATAAAATTTTTCTAGGAGAGATCTTCCTCCTTCAAACCTTCTTGTGCTTTCCTCTCAAGCAGCTGGTATTGGCCACTGTCTGAATCAAGAGACTGGACAGGATGGATACTAGTATTATCTGCTGTAATTATTTCCATTTTCACATGAGACATGACTCCAAAACAGAAATTTCATGGTTTTTATCTCCTGATGATATTCTGTCATGTTTACTCAATCAAGTAATATACTGTTTTTAAGGGTCATCCATGAAATTTCACACTCTGACAGCTCCAAGAGGGAGGTTACAGTGTTTCTATCATGCCTGCTAGCAGCAGTAATAAATAATCCGCGTATCAAATTAAGCCATTGACCAGACCTATGCATTAGCCAAGTTACCATCTTGTAAAAAGAGGTGCTGCTACAAGTTTCCTTTATTTCTATTTATCTTCCCTAACTCCTAATCATCAAAATTATTGTCAGGAGGAGGACAGAAAAGGAGTTTAGCAAAACATTTCAAGGACACTTTCATTCTGGAAACAATTTTATTACCAAAAAAGTTCATTGCTCCCATTGTCTTTAAAATACAATCAGGCATCTGCCTTAAAAAAGAGATTCCCCCAAACTACAGAATAAATATATATGAAGATACTGGTCAAACAAAAGTTTTAAGGTGAAAATAGTTCCTAATAGTTACATACATTAATAATGTACATAACATTAAAATGGCTGTCTTAATGTGGCTGCCTATTAGTGCACTGATGAGGAAACCACCTGACAGAGACAAAGCTCAGGGTACTGGCACCTTTGAAATCCAGTGGGAATGACACAACAAATGCACATTCATAAAAAATGCTGCGTCCAGGGAGGAATAAAACCAAAGAATAAAATAAAATCTTAAATATTTAACTTTGAAGAGGGTTTTCAAAAACATATATGTATATTTACCCACTAGACATACCTTGGCTGACCTAGTGATGGCCCCGATCTCTGAATAAAGATCAGTGCTGTCTGGGAACTTTTCCACCACCATAGTACAGACGTGGTGCAGCAGGGACTGCTTGTGCACTGTGTCCTTGACTTCTGGAACCTTCTCGAGGTAGCTCAACTCAAAAGCTTTGGCCTGTAAGGGGGAGAAAAGGGAAGAGATTAAAAATAAAAATGTTTAACTCCTTCCCATTTAGACTGGTAGACAAAAATGATTACCACATAGAGGCAGAGGGAAAAGAAGAAGAAGAAGAAACCTACGGAGGAAGAAACTTATTGCTTTGATTTATTTTTAACTTGCTGAAGTGTAGGCCTAAAATCAGTCCATCTGCAGTGAAATGACTCATGACACAGTTCTCACAATTTGAATGGGGAGCATCAACACTAAACTCAAGGGAGTTACATCAGAAGAGTGCAAAGCTCCACATTTCCTTCAGGTTATGCTGAAAGAGGCAAAAAGCACCCTGACACACAATAAAAAGTAGGTTCTGTTTTCTAAATGATTTTTTGGTACAAAATAAATACTGGGCTGCAACTGTCATAATGGTTTTGATGTATGTTTTTGAAGGAAAAAGCTGCAGGGGAAATGCTGGGACATCAGGCTTACATTGGTTCCATTCAGAAAGTTCCCAATGGCTAGTAGAGTGGAAAGGATAAATCCCAAAGTTTTATTGTGCTCCAGTTGGTCCATTCCTTCCTTCAGATCTAGAAGTGGTTCTGCAACTTCCTGCCATGAGAACAGAAACAAGAAAGTGAAGGCGGCAGTTGGCTATAGCTGCTTTAAATTTTTAATTCTATGGTTTAGATTAATTACTGCAAAAATTACTAAACTGGTGTCTTGCAGACTGCAAATTGGCCATGTGCGCTGGCTTTCTTCCATGTCCTAGCTAATAAATCACATGCAAGGACAGCAAACAAATATATAAAATACTTTCCTAATGTTTCTTCTTTATGTGTGCAATTGCCTCACTTGTCCTGGGGATTATTCTGTGATTCCAAACAGGAGAGAGAGACTCAGAGAAGGGACTGTTGCATTTGAGTTACATGCATCAACATCCCCCTGCCCGAACTGACAAAAAAGCTTATAACTATTTTTCCTAATCTTTGAAAAACAAAAAAAAGTTAGAACCCTGGCTGACTTGACATTTGTAGCCTGACCCTAAAGCTTTCTTCAAATGATGACCACCTCTGAGTTTTAGATATGGTTTCATGCTTGTGTGACTAAAAACTGAAAAAAACCCACCCCACTGTAAACATCAAGCTTTACAAGTGTTCTCATTTTAATCTTTCAACTTAATGCATCTTCCATCCACACATGTTATCTGAGTATAGGTATGTAAACTGATAAGGCTTGAAAACATAAATTCTGTTCCATTACTTCGGGAAGTGAACTATGCCAGAGAGTTCAAAGGAAGAGAGCGAGGGCAATTCAGTTGATGGAGCTTATTTCTGTGTCTTTGTGTGAGGCCCAGGGTTATTTATTTTGTATGCACAGTAACAGTTCACATTGTTTCTATCTCCAGATGCCATCCTAAGCATCCATGAGCAGCATGCTTTTCCCAAATTATTACCATCTTTATGAGCCAAGAAGCCAAAATTAAGATGTTATTTTAGACCAATAGGCAAAATAGTCGAGCACTTCAATTTCTTGGAGAAATACAATGGGTCATTCAACAATTGTAGTGATATTTTACCATAAATAAGAGCACAAAGTTGAAGGAAACATATATTTCTAGTTGCTACAGAAAAATTCATCTCTTGAAAAGAAAAGAATACGGTAAATTTGAGACAAATTAAGAGATGGCATAATGAGCAAAGCAATTTATACATCATGGGAGAGGTGCTAAATAATCCAAGACTTTATCAAGTTAAACTGAAATCAATAAACTGCTGCACAGAATTCTTTTAATTGCTTTAAAGTCAGGGTTTTAGTTTGTTTTATTGCATTATGGGGATGAATCAAACTGCTCTGCATCTGCTGTAAACACAGGCTTTTGAACTATTTTACTTGTATCAATTTGCAACCTGTTAAAAAATCATTCTTACAAGGTTAATTTTAGACATTCTGAAGGTAAATAAAAAGGTAGCGTAAAAGGCTTCTAAAGCAGGCCATACTGTAGCCCTTCATTTAGCTATTTACATGCAAGTTATCCAAGCTTAAACTTTCTTGCATATAGTACACATTTATAATTACTCTTTATTTTTTATTTTATTGTAGTATTAAAAAAAACAATAAAAAGTGTGCTAGATACTGTATAATCAGATGAAATACCCATTCTTCCTTCCTATAAAACTCATCTGCTACCTAAAGAGGGCAGATACATAATGCAGAGCTACCTCATATCCTTAGATACTACGTACTTACCATGTTTTTATTTTTCACCTAAAAATTATGCTTGTATGAAATTTGAGAATTGGTCCAGTATTTCTGGCTGCAAGACATCTCATAATGCCTGATAAATGTTTGATGCGCATATACAAATGAACTCAACTGTATGTGTGCAATGAATCCAGCGGTCCTGGGACAGGGAGGACATGGCACATGTGTTCTGTACAGTTGATCTGGCGTATGCATTGTTACTAACCTGCTATACCGGTAATAAGTTTAGCTTACTGCACCTATATGAGTCCACATGCATGCTTTTCTGGGAGGGGTAAAAACTTGGTTAGAATGGGAACTTTGAGATGACCAAAATGTGATTTGCTGTATTTGCATTTAATCCAGACCGGCCTTCATAAAGTATCATACCCTTTTAAAACAACAGAAAGCATCAGGATCATACTGTAAAACTTAAAAAGCTCTGATGCACTTTTAAAAATTTTCAGACAGTTTAAGCATCACTCAAAGGTACAACCTTTGTGAACACTTATTTCTCTAGCACACTGTCTCCAGGGAGACTAAAGTCAGGAGTAATCTTTCTGCTCAGAAGAGACACTGAAGCAAGCCCTTTTCTTTACCAGTTCTACTTTTCTCATTTCTACACCTGTTTATATTCATTTACGATCCTTTAAAGTTGTCAGCAATAAGGACATATTTGCCCACAGTGACCTTAAGAAAAAAAACATCTGATTTAGGACAACTAAAGATTCTCTTTCTAAGACCTTTAAACTCCCTTTGAGATAATCAAATTTGACAGCATCTGCATCATAAATAGTTCAGTACAAAGAAATAGTAGTAACACAGTGTAATTTTTCAGAGCAATCAAAAGTCTGAAAATGAAAATTTAAAGTTGAAACTCTACCTCTTCTGTCTATTCCTTTAAATTATGATACCAAAAGAAAGGTGAGAAAAATTATTGTTCCACTGATGGTCTTCAGTAGGCATACAGTACCTTAGATACATGTTAACATTTCAAAACAGTATACACATTATCAAATAGATCATTTGGAAAGGGTTTTCCTTTTTTTATTTTCTGCAAAGAGCGAAGAATGAGTATTCATTCATCTAGTTCAGCCTCTCATAGTCTGAAGCTGCTCCCTACAAATATACCCTGACTTGCTTTAGTTAATTAAATTCAATCCAAGAGAGATGACTTCCTTCATTATGCCCAGAAAGCTTTTCCACAAACATGAATAGCTCACTTAACCCTTTTCTTGAACAATTTCATGGTGTTTTTCTTTCAGGTTGTAAGAGATGGAGCTAAGATCTTCTTAGGCAAAACTCTGCTGTCGGCTGATTAGCAAGTCTCATGAATGAGAACCTCAGCCTTACATCAACAACTTGGGTATTTCACACTCTTGATATCATGGACCATCTAAAACTTCCAGCCTCGTGGAAATAATAGTAAGGTTCATTCATTTCTTACATAAAATATATGTGTGACACAATAAATAATATGAGTGCTCTCTGAAATTATGACTTTTCCTAATTTTAAAATAGATTTTTTTAAAAAATCAAGCAAATGCTGGACAAAAAAATGACAAAAACTGTGGAGGTGATTTGGCACCTAAGTTTCATGAAGTGTTTGCCCATTTGCAGATCGACCTTCTGCAAAAACATAGTTTCGGGAACAGAAGAATGTTAGCAGGTCATGGGACTCTTATTATTATAATCATTAATGTAAATGACTTGAAGTCATTTTTTAATTGAATATGCTCATGGTATCTTATCTCAGTCTAAATAATGCTTATGTTTATTGGTTACCTGGAACTTAAACTCTGACTTTAAACTTTGTTATGGGAGACCCAACTGCTTGCTCTCTCTTGTACCTCTGCTGTCTGATCCTGTATCTTCCTCTTCACCCAACTAAGACCCAAGCTGTCTGTCCTACCTATGCATGTCTGCTAGGCTTCTTATCACATGCTTATTTTATTGGAGTTATCATATGTTATTTGCTGTAGCATTTTATGTCAAGTAGTGTACTTAGGCCTATCTATGTTTCAACAGGGATAAAAACATAGGTCCTATCTTCACTCCAGCTATCGCCTCTTTGAGTAATTTAAGTATTTGAGACATTTTATACTAGCATTCCATCCTACATGGATTTTAGCTGGCAATTCATTAACTTTGTGGCATAAACATTACAGGATAAGCAACAGGCAAACTATCAGAATTTCTTTAGCTTTTAGCTTCAAATGTTACTTTTTGATTGAGAGGAAGCTAGAAATTCTGGGTATATGCATAGATTAACAGCTACAGCTAACTCAGTTTACATGAAAGGAACAATTTGTTTTTTTTTTCACTTTGGTAAAGCTATTTTTTCTGCTTTGAAGTTACCACAAGGCTAAATTGTGACTGGCAAAAAGGTATTCATGCCAGATACAAGTATTTTATGTTTTACAAGTCAAAAACGTAAATGTCTAAGACTAAAATGTCACAATGAAAAAATCCTGAATATTAGTGTGATTGTATTTCCGAAAATCTAAGAAAATTAAGCAGAGGTTGAGTAATCTGGACAGTATCATGTGCAAATCAATCCACTGTTGTATAACTTGTTAAATAACCGTGGCTAGGTCAACCTAAGGCGTTTTTCAGAAGCAAGTCCCACTTCTCAGAATCTATATCACACAAAGTTATACTGATTTTTTAATATACATACATGCGCACAGGTATACATACAAAATTAATATATACAGGAGAGAGCTACTTGAAGAGCAACACATGGGGTGTGCACCAGAAGTGCAGCCAGAAGAAGGTTCCTGTGATGAGATTCCTGAAAGAGCTTGTGAAAGTCAGCAAGTAGCTGAAATCGTCTATACAATTTCATTCTGTTTCACCTATGCATCGAAATTATATGTTGTCATTTTGAAATTTTTGTCTGTGATTCATCATTCACAACAGACAACCCAATTATAATGTTCTCTGAATAAATGCTATCCATGAAGGTGGCAACAACTGTCTGGGACTGAACTGAACAGAACACCCCTGAAGGATGTCTTATCTTATGTTTGTAACGTTGAAAGAGAGCTATAAACAGAAAAAACCTTAATGGATGGTGTTTTCCTTAGCTCAAATGGCCGTAAGATCAATACTCTCATTTTACCATGTAAGGCTGAATACTGTAGTCCTCATTCAATCTTTATCTAAAGAAAAATTCTTATTGCTCTGAAGTAAGAATTTCCTGAATAACAACATCTGGAGAAAATGTTGTGAGGATTTAGCCCTCTTCTTTGTTTCAATATCATTACTGACTAATTAAAGGAAGGAAGACATAATCTCTAATTTTCTTTCATAGAAGGAACAGATTATAAAGGATCATTTTAGCTGTTTCCTGGTTGGCCATCGAAACAAAGGCAACCCATTTACCGTTTCCTGTAAATATACGCTCATATAATAACAAGGTCAGGGAAAGATTAAGCAAAGCCTCGGAATAATCTCTACCCCTGCCTCCCTGCTTTCCCCTCACCTTTTCCACTATCTCGTAGTCCATCTTGAAAGCCCAGAGCTGGAGCCTGGCGGAGAGTTCACTAATGGAAGAGAGGGTGAGAAGGAATTGCTCGGCGCTGCCCAGGGGGACATCGGGGTTCGCCAGCTGTGCCTCCTGGATCTTTTGCTTCTCCTCCTCAGTCGGGATCATGGTCAGAATTTTCTGTGAAGGGAGACAAAAGGCAGGTGTCAGTGGCGGGGCCAAGAGGTGTGCCAAGGCTGGATGTTGGGTGGCTTTACAGCAGCAACAGTAGAAGATCTCAAGTCCCTGGCTGGTAAACTAGGAGAGCACTGTAGTAACCAAGAACTAACCCACTGCACAAGAAAGCAAAACAAGGCCTGCTGTCTCAAACATCAGCAGTTTGTTGAAAAACACATTAGCATTAAAATGCTTTTTTTAAAAAATTTGTACTCAGTAGATATGGTTAATCATGGGATGAAACTCTGGAGACACAGGAGACTGGTTAGCACTGTGCTCCTCAGCTTTCATATGTTTAAGTGAAAACTGGCCACCTTTCTGCAAATTACATATGGAAGTGAGGGTAGAAGGAATGCAATTTTGTGGCCTGTGGTTTACAGCAGGTCAGACTAGATATTAAGGTCCTTTTTAGCCTCAATATCTATGAATCTTCCAGCGTGCTTGTAGGTATACAGAAATAACTTGAGGACTCCTGTCCCTTGCCGTTCATAATTTATTACTTTTTGTTCAATCTGTTTTGTTTTTTATGAAACATGACAACTGTGGCGGCTTATTAGGTCACTCCCAAAAATTTCACCTGAACTGAGGACAACTTTCCAAGGAACATGCATTGAATTTAAAGTTGAACTATGCATTGCATAATATATGGCCTTTTTCTCTTTTGATCTGAGAAGTCTAAAATATTGATGAAAAAGGATCTCAATATTTTCAGTTTCTGCTGTCAGTACGGCTCAAAACATTTAAACTTTCCCTTTAATTCTTGGATCTTATATGCTTCTTTACATGTGGCAGCTTTCCTTCTCAAAGTATTACTCTCTAAGGTATTGCTTCTTAATTAGTTTTTAACATAATAAATGCATTTTAAAATCAAAAAGAAAAGCAAAAATCATAAAGGCATCAGATAAGTCGAGGTCTTTACCCTGCTGATCAATGCCTCATTAAAACAAAGCAGTAGATCTTCAGCAAAACTTATGTTTATTTATCTGAGGAATGACATGTTTTTCCTGTAGCCTTCTATAACGATAGAGGCTGTTTTGGAGAGGAGGAGAGAATAATAAAAATAAAACCAAAGAGCTATCAGACCTGCCAATCCAAACTACAACTTTGTTCCAACTCTGGACATAGCTAATTCATCAAAGTAGCACAACTGCCCCCTTCCAGTACTGATAATTCATCTGGGTCCTTGTACAGTGCTGGAGCTAAGTGTGGAGAGCAAGGGACTTCTCCTGGTCAATCAGGCAAAGAACAAGAGTCAAGCAAGCAAATCATGTTCAATTTGTTGAACTGGGACTTACTTAATTTCAGCCACAGCATTTGTATTGCTGTCCATCTTCTTATCGTGACTTCCATAAACATAAAGAAGCATTTCTTTCTGTTAATGTTGGCTCTGTTTTTCACTTTTTTTTTAAAAAAAGAGCCTCTTTACTTGGACATTGCAAGTTTCTACCTTAATAAATTAATATCCAAAGGAAAAAAAAAGAAGAGGTAAATCCCTCAATATACTCTAGTGCTTTTCCTTCCTCTGCCAATAAAATTTTGGAAAATATTCTGATGTAAACCTGTTCCAATTGATAGCACTTGTGTATTGATTTTGAGATGTGCTATCCATCCATCCATCCACCCACCCACACATGCTGAAATCTGTAACTTAGGTCATATCTGTCATCAAACTAGATTTATAAGTAGCTGCTTCAGGGCATTTGTCAGTGCTTAACCAATACTAATCTAAAAAAGTTCATAAAAAAGAGAGAGACTGAGTCTGGAACTCATAAGAAGAGGTGTTTTGCAGAGTGTCCTTTGAAGAAGTCAGGCCTCATAGTGTCAAGTCCTCTCTTCAACAACAACAAGAAGCCAACAACCCCTCAGCTGAGCCAGGGCAGCTTGCAAATAGGATCATATGAACATCCATACATGGAGAGTTTAGCAGTAGCCATGTGATGGATTTAAAAATGCTTCTGATGCATTTTGAAGGCTAACACTTCAGCAGTATTCTCAATTGCCTCCTACAAATAACTAGCACTTTTGGCAGCCACCCAGGGATCCCACAAGTATTTTGTGGTGGTGCAAGGCCTTCACTCCAGAGATTTTGCACTGCTTTCGGGCATTTTAAAGAGAGCAATGAAACAGTAAGCTTTATTTCCAAAGGGACTCTCCTCCTCCTTGCGCTTTATGTAAACACCACCAGCCAGATGGAGCAGACAAAAAGCATTCTAGTCCAAGAACTGCAAGGCTGCTGTGCTGCGTGCTGTAGTACGTGAAACAGAGAATGCCAAGCAAAAGAGCCTGTACTTGTGGTGCCAGCTGCCAAGGATCAGCCCCGCTGCTGAAAGCCCTGCCTTGAAGGGACCAGAGCTGCTGGCAGGTCTCACACCATCCAGGGTGCAACTGCCCCCATAACAATGACCTTCTTACTGGCACTCCTCAGGCAAATAATTCTGATCCTGCTGGTCTTCATCCTTGGTGTGCCCCTGAGCCAGTGGTAAAATGCTCCTGTTCTTGATTTCCACTCCATGACTCATTTGAGCCATTTGTTTAGTGTTGGAAGCTGATGAGCACACCATCTGCCAGTTTATTATTATAATTATTATTTTTTTAAAACATCACTGACAGTAAAAGTAGCATAAAAACACAGAAGGGCAGAAGGTTACTGGCACCTGATGTGACCATTAAATCACAAATAGCTTTGAATCTAATCATTAGTTCATAACACTCTCCCCAGTATTGTATTCTTCAGGTCAAGTAAAGAAGAATTGTTTATCAACAAACCCTGTGCTCATATCCTCTAATACGTGTGATACGTGTATTTCACCTCCATGCATTTTCACACAACCGTTTGGGCCAGAGACTAACGTTCTGAGGAAAACCAGTGCACAAATCTTTTCATGGAGAAGAAGAAGATCCTGTTCACATGAGATAATGGATCCTAATTATTATGCTCCTGGACTGCTGGACCCAGCCACTTCCTTGAACTTTCAGCAAAGGGATCAAACTGCTTATTTCCTGGACTCAGCCATCCCAATGTATGATCTCCAAAAATTTTGAAAAGGAAAGCCTTACGAGGCTCACAGGGCAAAATTTATAAACCCCATACGTCTGAGGGTTACCAGCCTCAGTGTGGGATGCAAGGAAGCACCTAACCAGAGATTGCGAATAGCCCGGAGCCTCTGTGGAAATTAGGTGCTTAAGTTATCTCTTTCAAGAGATAAAGGGGTTTCTCGATGATGATGAGGTTGCAGGAGTGCCTTGGCTTTCATGTTTGGTTTTAGCTGATTTTACCAGGTGAACAGGAGCCTGAAAAAAATTAGTAAATATCTGGTTGTTGTTGGGTCAAAAGTTTTCTGTGGCTCAAGGCCCACAAATTCATAAGCTGCATAACCAAACACACATTAGTGGGTATTTCATCAGATATTTGACAGGCCTCAGCAGATGATTCAGCTCCAAAAAGGCTCTCACACTTCAGCTTTGCAGGCAGCTATTAATGAGACACATTGGTCATTTTCATTACCTGCAGAAACTTCATCAAAATATAAAAGTATATGAAGGTCAGGATTCCACAGTAAATGAGGCCACCTGCACTAATTTTATTTCAACTCTTGCAAAAATGATCCAATTCTAAGAAGGGACTATATCTAAAATGCCTGAGAGCCATCCCTATAAATCAGGAACTGACAGCCGTTGTCTCGGTCAGACCTCTCCGATTCCTCAGCTCTCTGCTGCAACACATGAACTTGCCATTGCTGGTCACAGAAACCATAGAAGATGTTTTGGTTTGCTGCAAGGAGTGAAAGTGTAGCTTTTTTTCTTTAAATAAAGTCTGAAACTCATTAGGGCAGTGTTACACTGGCTGTGGGTATATATATATATGGCACCGTTGAGTCCGTTCTGTCTTCTGTCTAGATTTGTGAAAAGAGGTGTTCTTTCAGGTCATGCAAGCTAGCATAATTTGAAACATCCCATCACGCTTTTACAAAACATTAGCTAAACAAATTGGAAACTGCAAATGCCAACATACCGTGGCAACTATCAGAACAAAAAATTAAATACCTTGACCGTTTCCGAAAATCAAATTTTTCTTTTGTTTATACATGTCACCATCTGCCTTTTTAACACCAGGCTCTCATTTTTTACCCCTTTTTACATCTCAGGGTTACCTAGCTACTCCAGACATCTGGACCTCAAATTACTTAACAAATGTGGGTATGGACGGCCTAGCATACCTGGAGAGTTTTTTTCTTTTCAAATAGTTACTGTGTGGCATCACAAAGCTATATTGTAAAGCACAAAGCAACCCATCTTAATTTCCTCACAGCATTACCCTAGTTTTTTTAAATTAATCATACTCTTTGGTACAATTTCATTTTGATCCACATCCCCTTACTGAGTAGCATTTTACAGAGGGACCCACTCACTTCCTTTACTAAAGACAACCACCAAGGACTGGTTTGGTGGACTCTATTCTTGCAGTTGCCCATGATACACTTTGTAGCAAAGTTGGGGTCGGTCTCTTCTCCGAGGCAACCAGTGACGGGACAAGAGGGCATAGTCTGAAACTGCGTCAGGGCAAGTTCAGGCTAGAAATGAGGAGGCATTTCTTCACAGAAAGGGTCATTAGGCATTGGAATGGGCTGCCCAGGGAGGTGGTGGAGTCACCATCCCTGGAGGTGTTTAAGAAAAGGTTGGAGGTGGCACTTAGTGCCATGGTCTGGTTGACATGGTGGTGTTAGGGCAAAGGTTGGACTCGATGATCCCAGAGGTCTCTTCCAGCCAAACCGATTCTGCGATACACTTCATAAAAATTAGGTGCCAGAATTTTAAGCTCGCCTCTTCTGCTTAGCTCACAGAAAGCCCTCATCCATGCTAAGCAGGCAGTTCTTTATCCTGCAGCAAGCTCCAAGTTGTTTGAACACAACGAATGCCAAACTTTCAAAGAAAGGAAAACACAACCACTTTGGCAAATGTAAGGTGGCAAAAATTTTTTTAGTTGGATTGACGCAAGCTTGCAGACACATATTGTGGATTCCTTTGAAAATACATTTCTAACAGTGCCTGCTCTGCACACTAAATGGACAATATTTGCCTTTCTAGCACCATGCCCCCATTTTCTGCCCTTTTTCACAGCTCCAGGATATCTAACCACTTCAAACACATGGCCTAAAAATATGCAATGTACTTCAGTATAGACGGCTTTAAAAATACCTGGAGAATTTTATCTCTGAAGTTATATATTTGAAGTTAAAAAGCAAAGTATGGATTAATTAACAAGAGTTAAATGTCACAAGCGAAGCAGCATTCAGCAGAATGTAGGACAGTAGCGGACAGTTTACTGGGTGACTATGAACTTGATGATGAGTTGGGCTACCACAAACTTATAGCCTGCATCCCACTGCATCACTGTCTTGTTGCTAGCACTACTGTCAGCAATACTTTAGTCCACTGTCCTTAAATGAATCACTAAGGTTGGTTTTAAGACACCATTTAATCTGAACTTATCCACCAAGGCACAGAACTAAAGCCACAAGCACACTAACACAACAGTGACGATGCTCATCAGCGAAGGACACAGCACAGAGCTCACAGCCAAGGCAAAGGATGACTCAGACGACTTTACCCTGTTGGTGCCCTGCTTTGTGTTGGATCTGCTAAAAGCTGAAGATGATCCTAAATTATAGCTTCTCTGAAATTTTATCAGTGAATGTTATATCCTTACCGCACACATTACATCTCTTTTGCTCTCCTTACATCCCTCTCTTCTGCTTACTGGCTATGACATCTCTTCTAGACAATTAACTATGTAGAAAGCCTTTTGAGTACCCACTGTGATGCAGTTTTTTAATTAGACCAACTACATAAATTTTTTTCCAAACCAGTCCTGCCTCATTCAACCCATAGATTAGCTATAAAGTATATTATATAGCAAATAATTTGCTTTATTCTCTGTGGTTTTATATAAATGAAGCTGAAGTTTACACTATTACTGATTCATTCATCATCACTACCAATTATTTCCTAATATTTAGGAACTGTAGATATGCTCTTTTGTCCATGAACATCATCCTTCCCAACCAATGAAGGCTTCACCCCTCAAGGTTCAAAGTACCTGGGCTCTGCTCCACTTACCCTTTCTCTTGATTTTAAATATCTGAATGATCACATCAGGATTACTCATATGCTTAGCTTCAAGCTGTGGACACAGAACTCAGAAATCCCATTTTCTTTAGCACTGGGCAAGTATATCAAGAATGTATCATTTCTTGGTTTCTGGAATCTTCAATTTGAAAGCTACCTGCATATATATTTTAAATGAAATTATGGGTTTCTGGCAAGCTAATGGAAAGGCCACCCAAAGCAGGGTGTGGTGGTACAAGGCACTCACAACTGTGGACACCACAGGTGGTTGGCAGATGGACAGCCCAGCTACAAATGTTGGCACTGGAAAGGGTGAGCTGTGCAGAGCAGCTGAACTTCTGCTAAGTGCGCCAGAGAAGGACACAATTCAAAGGAGATGATACATGGAAGATAATGAAGATGTGTCCTTCTTTAGTAGCCATTTTATATTGGACTTTGTATGGTAACACTGCCTACAGCACTGAGATCTAACTGGCGATCTCTCAGTTGAGTTTGGCTGGAGGAGTACATCTCTCCAACAATTTAAAGCTTAGTACTGCAAACTGCAGTGGTGGGTACATGGGCTGGGTCATGAAAAATTACTTTTTTTAGCCTGATTTGTCACCTTCATAATATGAGTAAGGTATGTATATAGCAAATAAGTAATATAGCTTTGGGAAGAAACTATATTCTAGTAGGGATAAATCAGGACTTGCCTTCTAGCTAGAATGATCTTTTGCCTTAAGTATTTCTTTTGCATGTAACTCTTGGCAACTCCATTTCTATTCCAGCTAGCTTTTTTTCATTTTCTTCTGTAGTCAGCACAGTGAAGGTGGAAAGGGGGAAAATCATGAAACACAGCGCCAAACCACGGGAAGGTGACTGTGAATCAATACACGACCTCTGCAGCTCAACCACAGGTTGAGATTTGTAGTTGTGCAGATTACTCTTACTAGATCATACAGGCTTATTAAAAAAAAAAATCTTTGAAATGAATACAACCACAATGAAAAAAACCAGGGGAGTAGCAGGCTTCTTTTACACTTCATAGAAGAAAAATGTTTTGATAAAAAAATAATAAACAGAGCTCATCTTGGATCTGGGTAAGAGTATCTGCAAAGTCAAACATGCAATGGTAAAAATTACATCATCTGTAATCTTTATACCAACTGCTTTTCTTCAAACAACAGTAACACAGAAATGCTATTTTGAGCAGAACTAGTCACTGTATTTGTTTTCCATTAGATATACAATCTAGAATGACTCCAACAGCTAGCTGGGCATGAACTTTATTAAACCCTGTACCAGTTGCATCAGCCCTACTAACTCACTGCCTATTCTCGCTGCTTACAATATTTCAGTCAAGTTTCAGAGGAACAGATAATACTCTGAAAATCTTGACAGGAATTAACACCACTGTTACTCAAACTTAAACACAAACAAAACAGAGAATCCACATTTACTGAGCATGCCCAACCTCAGGTGAATACTACATGCTTCTGAGCACACTGCATTGATTTCATGAGTTTCAACACTCGGTCATGATATAATACATCCCCTTTTCCCACCTCCATGAAAAGTCTGGCCTGTACCATGTGCAAGGTCGACAAAAAAGGAAACATTGAAAACGCAGACTTGAAGGCATCAACTATTCTGTCTTACCTCTATTCCTTCCTTGTTTAAGGCATATTCGTCAAAGTTCAAAATAGCAGTCTTGATAGTGCGGGGAGGGGGCAACACAGTCAAGCCAATATTAATAGCATTGCTTCGTTTTGAGTCCAATACAATGATCTCCTGTCGCTTCCCATCTGCAGCAGTTTTCTTGGTAAAGAAGAGAACAAGAATATTATTCCTCCAGCCTGTTTTATAAAGAAAAAGCCACTCCTTTCACTAATGACTTCCCCTACTCGAGGGTGCTGACATTGAATGTAAATCTAATTCATTTATAGTCATCCAAAAAAGCTGAATTCTTCTACCACATCCTTGCTGGTATTGGCATGAGCTGCCAGGATTTAACCAGAGAGCTGAATGTAGCCTCAGATGCCGTGCAAAAAAGCCCGAGACACAGGAGTCCCCGCAAGGCTGGGAACACTGCAGTTTGGGGCAGGAATGGGTCTGAAAAAAGCCTGAAGCTGTCTCTGCTGGGCGAGAGCTCTGCCATGCGGCAGGACCAGCCAGCTCAGGGTTGGAGGGGCCGCAGCTGATGGGCTCCGGGCCTCCATTCCCCCTTGGATGTGTCAACCCGGAGTGGCCACTGCCCCTCTCTCACCTACATGGCCAACTGGGAAACAGACAGGGTGGTTCCCATCTGCCTGCCAGCACTCTCCTGTGTTATAAATCCACCTTGGATATCGGCAAAGGAGCTGTAGAGGCCTTTCTGGAGACACTGGCATGGTTTTCTGACCTCTGGCTGCCAGAGGAAGGGTATTCTACCTTGCCACTCATGATATGTCCGTCAAGCTCTTCACAGGTGCAGAACAATTTCAACCTTCTGCTTTTTTTGATCTTTGGATCTTACCTCCAGTATAAACTACAGTATAAATAATAATGAAAGCACAAAGAACTAACAACAAACAGTTTAAATTGTATTCAAGAGAAGACCCAAGAAATTTATTCCTCTCCCCATCCTCACAGTGGCAAAATGCAAACCAACTAGGCAACTCACAAACCATTTATATGGCATAATACAGTGTTGAACATGGTCTTTGCTTTTACGCCCCAGCATGTCTCTCTTTCTCTCATTAGCCTATGCTAGAAGGTGTCTAATATACATATGACATATGTAGTTTGGCAACTACATATGTCATGTACCAGGCAGCTGCAAGAGGAGAGGACTCTGCTCCTCACACACAGGAGTTCCTCCTCCCTCTCAATACACATGAACTTTGGAAACATGTATTCTCTGTTTCCCCCTCCTTTGCCCTATCAGAGATGGGCTGAGGGATGCTGTCAAGCATGGGAATTTAGGGAAAAGACCAGCACATTGATGCAAGCAAGTGCAGAGATGCTTTGCTATATATAAACCTGTGTTTCAGCACAGCGCAGGCTGCAGAGACGGGACTGTGACTGCTCTGTAGAGCCTGTTACGTTACCTGGACTGTGGTTAGAGGCTCCAGCAGCAGCAGCCTTAGCACAGATGCACCTCAAAGGGGCAAAGAGAGAGACTAAGCCATCCCTCTTTCCAGGCTGCAATGTGGTGGCCCATACAACTGTTCAGAACAGGGAATCATCTGTGTCGTCTATAGCAGTGGTGTCTCTTGCATCTCTTGTGGATTTGGGGGAAGCCCAGGAGGAGACTTTTACTGCCCGACTCTCAGTCTGTGATCAGGATTGCTCTTCAGACCATGAAGTTTTGTTCTCCACTTCTTTTGGGTCTGCACCACAGCCCCTGAGTCAAAAAATACCCTACTGCCAGGTCTACATGCTGTTTCTGCGTTGGAAGAACTGTCTAAGTTAGTAAATACAATTTTATCAAAGTACCTCCAGCTGTGGGTCAGCCCATAATGACAATGCAGTTGTATCATTACAAAGATGCTTTTTCTGGCACAGTTCAGTTCCTTGCCTGCACAAGAAGAGGTATGCCCACCCATCCACCCCAGCAGCCTGCCCAGCACGTGTGCGGCACTACCTTTCATCATACCAACACAATTAACATGGTATGACGCAACTTCTGTGTGCAGATGGGACTGAAGGCAAGCAAGCTTTACAGGAGTTGGAGACTACCACGTGTATGATCTGTGAAAGTAGTGAGAGTTCGTTTTTTTAAACTTAAAAAGAAACAACACTTTTGCAGTAAACAGGATAAATTGCAGGAGAGCAAAGATAACCCTTATTTTCAATTTTTATATGTCCGTTCTGCCAGAACTGCTATCTTTTTAATGGCCTAAAAGCATCTCTGAAGCCTTCTTGAACTTTCCCTTCTTTGAGTAAAGGTTCTCTTTTTCTTCGGGAGCTACCTGAAGGATCTGAGATGCAGCTTCTCCTTTAAAGCAGACATTTTTAGTTCCAGGGCCATTAATCAAATTTTCAGGACCAGGCCAAGACCACATAAAAATAAGTGGGGTTCACCAGAGACTGCTTCCTCTTGAGTCTGTATTGCACTAAGCCCCTTTTAAACCACCACTTTTTACCTTGTCCTTTGCAGCAGAGAATTACAAAGCTCCAAAGAATTTATGCAGAAGGAAAAAAGCTGGGGGAAAGGAGTTAAATTTAGGCTTCCCACATGTGGTATGGGTAAGCAAGCCTCAAATCTGCAGCTCTGTTTTTAGGCTCCTAAGTTTGACAAGAAAGACATATTCATTTGGGGGACATATGATGCTAACCACTGGGATGATTGTGACTGCAACAGGGCGCTCGCTCCTTAGCAATGACTTATGAAAGACAGATGAGCTGTATCGGGGATGTATGCATGAAGGTATTTTCCAGAGCTATAACTGCACACGGGGTATAAAATTTTGGGTTAAGTAACTATTTTCAAAAACAGGGGTAGAAAAGATTTTTAAATCCATTTTGGGGACTTCGGCTGAATTACAAAGAAATCCTTTCCAAATAAATAAAAGGATGAAGAAAAGAGAAAGATTTTACTACTATGAACTTTATTACCCTACCGCTAAGAAAAGAATTACTTTTTGTCTGCAATGAAATTGCACATATGTAAGAGTCTGACTGTTAAAATAAGCTACAACTATTAATTTCTATTACAGTATTAGGTGACTTCAGACCGTGCTTTATAAGTTCATTAACAGAGAATGACTTTAAATGCTTGAGGGAACAGTGCATTAGTGCACTTCATTTTATATTTTAACGCGTCAGTATGTAACGTAAGCCCTGAACTTCTGAATATTATATTATTGAATGTAAATACAAAATAAATTAAAAAATACAAATATATCAGGTGGAATAATTTGTGGGAAACAAATGTTCCTGCAATGTATTAACAATTACAGTGAATTTAGGTCTTTACAAGGTATAACCGGCCAGATTCTGTTGTCTCTATTGAAGGCTGGGTAGTCCAGATAGGTTATTTAAAAATTGTTACCATCCCACAGAAGGTGATTTGCAGTCTGATGAGCACATAGTCTAAAACATGCCTCTTTGCTTTAATTAATACGGAAAGCAGAAAAATTTAAATCACTTTTGCAGTGGTAATATAAATATTTAATTACATATGAGCGTCAAGTCAGAAATATCTCCTGCATTTAAACTTGCAGAACAATCTGCATCAGTAGTACAGAAAAAATGGGCAATCCTTCAATAGTGAGATGGCACTTCTTTATTTCTATCTTAATTAGCAAGGATTTAGCACTGGGGATTTAGAATGGAATCACTCACGTGCTACTGACTTTGTCGAGGATACATGTATATAATCTTTTTCAGAAATTCTAGTCCACATTTATGACTTGTCTTACCATTTACTGAAATTGCAACAAACATTTTGAAAAGGAATATGTGTCTAGGCATGTATTTACATGTGTACATGAAAACATGTTCCTTATTTTTTCCCTCCTATCTGTGGGCACATGATGGGTCACTCTATCCCACAGGGTACCGATGAATCAGCAAAATAATACTTTCAAATGATATGCGCAACCAAGTTGATGGCAGAAGGGCTGACCAACAACATTTGATTCAGTAGTGTCTGCGTGTTTTCATTTCTTTTCATAGAAAAATAAACACTTTCAAGTACTTTGCCAAAATACCTGATTTGTTTGTCAGAGTGAGAAGGAAAGATATTCTAGACTTGCTTGGAGGGGATACTTGATCACTCTCTTTCTATTTGCAAATAGAATGTAGTGGTCTTCTATTCTAGAAAATAAACATTCTGCAACTAATGGTGCTCCACTAACTATAATCAATGTGGAAGTTGTCCAGTGTGGCATAAGTTTTCCTAAAATCAAGAATCTCCCCTCCCAGCCCACCCCCTCAAACTCCCATATTATATCCTACAATTTAAAATCCACTTTATTTTATTGCAGTCTATTGTGTTTAATGAAAAACTTCTCATGAGCCAGGAAGTAGCTGTTTATAGCTGTGTGTTGTGGAAATCACAGTGAAGGATTAGAAACTGGAATAAAATTGGTTACAGCTGTATGAAAGAGCAAATGCACAAGATAGAGCCAAGCCCCCCTTACACACCCTGACTTCGCTTTTCCTCTCGTCCTTCTGGACTGTTCCTTTTCCATGCACCTGCTTCCATCTATTGCTATGAAATCTGGAGATTTGACTTTTGATTTGTTGCTCTGTGCTCTTTTTTTCAGCTGAACCAACTGAGCTGTGAGTCAGACTTTACGATATTATAGAATAAACCTGTTTTGGATTGCAGCCATTAGACAGGAGAAACTAGACACAACGGGGAATGTACTCCCTGGAAATAAACCAAGCAGTCTGGAAAAAGCGAGAGCTATTCTAATTTGAGAGCAATCTTCGTACCAAACCTCAAGTTTTTTACGGATTCAGTGGTCTGCTTAATTATTCCCACTCTCACTTGATCTAAGGACTTTCTCCTACCCTGGAAGATTTGCTGGCATTCACCAAAACCAGGTAAGAGTCTCAGAAGTCTGGGTAGGCTTCCACTCTGGTACTCCTTGGTCACCATTGTCTTCTCCACAGAGACAATGAGACTTCTATGTCTGTGTTATGGGACAGGGTGGAAAGAGAGCCAAAAGTATAACGTCTCATGCAGAGAGTAGTTATTAGTCTCCAAGAGGAAAGCAGTCATCTAAATCATTCCTCAGACTTGCACTAATTTCAAAGAAACCTGCTCACTCATCTTCCAGCCAGAAGCCAAAAGCTGTGCCAAAGCATCAGGCAGGTTTGGAAAGCAAGTGTGAGTGAGAGAAAATGGCCAGAGGTAGTTTGGGAATGTGCATGGTGAATGACTGGAAAAGTAAACAAGTCAAAATTCCAACAATTTAACATTTTATCAAAATTTCGGATGAGTATAAAAGATTAAGAATCACCCAGAGTGATCTATTACAACGCCGGCATTTAGCACAAAGCTGAGGTTTGGAAATGGCAAGTATGTCATCATTCCACATTCAATTTGAGGAATTAAATGTTTTATGGATCTAAGAAAATGCTCTAATTCCTTCCATCTATGAACCACCTGTGGCAGATTTGTATGTACAGGGAGAGAGATGAGGAGTAACATGCCACAATGTCACCAGCATTCCTTCCTCAGCAGAAAAGGAATTAGAGAGAGATTAACCTCAGTATCAGCCAAATGAACAATCAGCTGAATGTGTTTTTAGAGCTGCTCTGCCATACATTTCAGATCTATGTGCATCTGTGTCACAAAAAATTCAGTTAAGAACAGCGATGGCAGGATCTACGCGAGCCATCTATTTATGTACCTGTTGTTTGCTAGGTACTTAATGAGGGGCTTGATTGTTCAAATCGCAATGCTTCCCCTTGGCCAAGAAGATCAAGAATGATAAGTACAAAATTTTCAGTTAATAACCCAGACAAGTGACACGGAGAACTTCTACCGTGAGACATCCAATCTCCCCAGATTAAGAGTGAAGAATAATATATAGGATACGTAATATATATAACAACTTTTGCCAGCCAAAGAGAAGTAAAATATTCAAGGTGCTGAGTAGTTTTTATGTCACTATAAAACATACAGGCATACAGAGAAAACATAGAAGCCATTCATTTAAGTAAGAGAGATGGACATCTCTTACTAGCATTTTAACTGGAAAAAAACTGATACCAATTATTCTGCTTAGAAGAAAAAGAGTTTATGTAGCCATGAAAAACAAATGTTCAAGCTAATAACTTTTTAAATGCTACTTCAAATTCCTACTAAATGTAACTATAAAACACTTCCTTTTGTTGTTGAGTCTAATGTTAAACAGCCATGTCGCCAGCCCTTGTGAATTTATTTTATAACAACACTAAGGAAGAGGGAATCCTAGCTACAGAGATATTTCCTGTGCCAGCTTATATTCTAAAATTTGGATAGTCACATTGTACAAATTAAGGATTTAAAATAGGCCTGTTCACCAGTATAAAACAAAAACCCAACACCCCTGCAGAGTTTAGCTGTAAACTTGGTCCAGCTGATAAATTGATCCTTCAGAATAAAGCACATGTGTAGGCTCTTTGCAGCAGATCCAGTTTGATATTCTAACCTTTCCATATAATCATTAGGAAAATATTACCAAGTGAAGAACTGTCAAATACACAGATATGAATCATCACGTTGTGACCTTTCTATGAATGTAACAGAAAATATTTCAGATTTCACTACGTAGTTTGGCACTCAGCTACGAACAAGCTAATGTAAAATTTGCTGCTATTCCCACCTGAAGTGATATCTCAAAACCAGTAGACCTGAGACAGGAGGGTAGCTTGGCATGTACACCACCCTAGGCTCACCTCCTAGTTTCAAGTCATGGAATATCTTCCGTCATAGGCCAAGCTAGAAACACATCCAGTAATTTCCACTGTTTTCATACAAACAACATAAATCACCTAGATCTAAGTCAGAATGAATACCAATACAATAGCAAAATAATAGCAATCTGAATACGAGCTGTACCTTTGTGACAGGCAGTTCCTTGGATTTAGACTCAAAGAGATGCTCCAGTTTGGAAGTGTCCACCTTAATGGGTTCCAGTTTCGACCACAGGAATTCTCTGCAGCGTTTGTTGTTTTTACACTGCCACTCAAATGGCCGTACCTCGTTCCAAAACAGACGGATGGTTTTCTTCTTCTTTATAAATGCTGGCTGACCCCTAGAAACCTGGGGTGACCCTAAACCCTGAGGAGTGCTGAACAGCGGAGGAGGAGCCAATAAATTAGCAGAGGGTGGAGGTGGAGGCGGACATCCAAACAGCAGGGGAGGTGGTGGAGGAGGCAAACCCAGAAAAGAAGGTGGAGGTGGAGGAGGGGGAACAAGGGAGTCCCCAGGACCCATATCCATGTCCAACACATCTACATCATCCTCCTCCCCCAAGTCTGTAAAATCCATGTCTTTGATTTTAAGTTCTCTAGGATTAGCCATGAGCTGATCCCAGATGTAGTCAGATTCCTTCTTTGGCTGTGCTGGTGTTTTCTCAGCGACCTGTTCACTGATTTCATCTTCAGGCACGGCTGTCGCCTTGGCCAGCTCACCACTGTTGAATTTTTCCGCAAAGGCTTTCACGCTGCCTTGGTTGTCCAGATTTCCAATCTCCATCTTTTTGACACTTTCATCTTTGGCCTGCTTCGTGGCCTGAAGGATAGAGATCCTACTGGCTAGGCTAGTGAGTGACTCCTCGTTTTCCTCCGTCTCCTTCTTTTCCTCCTTCGTCTCCAGCTCCTTCTCCTCTTCATCCTTGGGCTTTTTGTTATGCGCATACAACATGTCCAGCATAAACCTCTTGTTGTTGAGGATGTTGCTGCACTGCTCATTCACACCAGCATCCTGAATGGTCTGCGACCATGGACCTGCAATCACACACACACAGATGGGAAGAGTCAAGGGGAGGGAGCCAGAGCACCAAGAACACTCTTCAATCCCCCCCAAAAATGTGGGGGACACACGCACAATTAGTCTGAAACTGGGCAAGAAGTAGCTTTGAAAATTTTGAAATAAGTGACAGTGCTGATATAGGACCCAATCTTGATGGGCTGGGAGTAATTCTCAAAAAAGGAATGGGAGCAGAAAATAATCAGTGTAGCTTGGGAGGGACTATATAACTCTCAGGATTTCAAGGTTCAGGTTTCTCCTGAAATCTGTCAGGTTTCACTTTGTACTTACTACCCAAGCTCATTTTATACAGTGCATAAATGCTCAGAACGTTTAACAATCAGGAATGGGGCTTAAATATCATGACAATGGCACAAAATAGGTTATCGTCATACTTTTCACCTGGTCATAAACTGCAACCACCCAAGGAAAACTTCCTTATAAAAGAGATCTTCCCTGCCTGATGTCAAGGTTATCATGTAACTGCTTACTCCTCCTCCTCCTCCTCCCTGCCTGCTGGCTAGGGGAGGGCAGCTTTCACATCTGGCTGTTCCTCAGACCTCCTGGCTGGGTACCTGGGCCATCTTCACAACACGGACTATTTGAATCCCAAAGCAGGCTGCGTACCCAGAGTTACAGCTCTCAGGGCAACTCAGGGAAGCAAGATTTTTAAAGTTATTTCTAGGAATATGAGCACCTTTATAAAAGATTTTTGAACATGCTGCTCATCAATTACTGCTACGCTCCCTGTAATATATGACGGCATTGAAAGCCCAATGGCCTTCTTCCCACATCACAATCATTTAACACGTCACTGTAAGGAAGCTTTCTCTTTCTGAATACTGCTTTTCTCAACAATAATCTGCAAAATACCATGTTTGAGACAGCACCATAAATAACAAACTATAGTGGTCAAATTGTAAAAATAAATGATGTAAGTGTCTCTGTGACTGCATTTCCCTGAATGTAATCCTGCTAACCAATGTGGATAATGTATCTAAAAATTATGGTGCTTCTTTTTCCACTGGGCATCAGATGAAGTGATTAAGCATGGACAAAGATAATTCTTCACACTTACTGTATTTTCTGTATGGGATTCCTTCTGTTCCCCATAGTCTTTACACATTTTATTAATATTTTTTTAATAAACTTTATTTCTTAAACACATTTTATTTTGATTGCTAACCTACCTTCCTTTTGGCCTCTTGTGGCTAAAGATTTTCTTTTATACCTGTCAGTTGCCCTTTCTCTTAAACTTCCATTTTATGTTTGTTTTTCCCCTTACGCTCTCATCTTTTTCAATACTTTAGACTTTCAAACATCTTTTATGGCTTCCTTCGTTAACAGAGTTGCTTTCTTATGAGACATCTAGCCCTGTGCTCTGAGAGGTTGTCCCCTCGGTGAGATCCACATCCAGTGCCCCACAACCCCTGCTCACCCCTTTAAAATAACACTACGTTAAAACGTAGGATGGGTCTCACAACACAAAGCATATGGACAGCAATGACTCTCATCTCTATTCAGATCAGCCTCTAAACTGCATTTTAAAACGAGTCCAGAGGTTTAACCCCAGACAAAAGAAAGACTTTTTCAGCAATGGATACAACCTTCAAAACTGTTTCCTTTTACTTTCTAGCAGGAGGCTTGACAGCTTCCATTACCTGTTTATTTTTCCTCACACTTTATCCATGGGATTGCCTTCTCACCCAGATTTGTCACCTGAGGTAGTTTCACTAGACAACATGACTAGACAACTCCTTCCCCACACCATAGATTTTACCCAGCTGAGCCCTCACGGAAGATTTCCTCCTAATCCCAGCCTTTCCTTCAAAGATGTTCAAGATTGCTCCCAGGATCCCTTCTGTAAATCCCACATGACCTACCTGCTCTCAGTTTCACCAGCCAGGATCCTCCAGGATTTAATCCCTTTGCAAAACTCCACATCCAAATTCCGCCAGACACAATCTCTGATTTGGGCTCCCCAAGTCTGCCTCCATCTGCCCCAACTGATCAAAGATTATTGCTGTGAGGACTGTTGCTACCTTGGTGGCCTCTTCTGCCCTCCTCTCCACAGGTAAAGCTTTGAAATACCATCGAAGAAACAAGACTTATTGGAAGCCACATTCAGCAGCATAGTTAACAAAGGAGGAGACAGGACCAAAGGCTTTATTCCTTTGTCCTTAATGCATCTAGGCAGAACCAATGGGCCACCTCATAAATGGCAAACTACTTGTTGGGAATGTGAGAACTGCTGGAGAAAACATTCTCGTTTGATTTCTGAATCTCTTCACCTACTAGAGAGCAAATGACTCACTACATGAGACCTCCTACGTAGCACAACCTAACAAATCTTTGGTCTACTGGTAATGTAGGTCAATTTTAACATGTTGATTTTTCAATAATAGGGTACATTTGCTAGTTTTTAAAAAAAAGTACATAAGGATTTAATTAGAGTGGTAACAGGTTGATAACAGACAAAATGAGGGGAAAAAAACCCATAACCTGTTCTTTCTTATTGCACTTGGATTATCTTGGACTGTGCCACAGTGTAATGACATCCTTCATCTGTCATATCTCCCCTCCCTTTCCTACATATATATCTGTCTACATTCTTTAAGAGTACAATAGCATTTTAAGTTACTCAATCTTGGTGCTGGTTGAGAAGAAGATAGCGCTTAAATTTAGAATAAAATTAACTTAATGTTTCCCAGAAAAAAGAAGTGATAGGGTTTAAACTTGAACAGTACAATTGGACAGTTTATCTCTGTGAGGTAATCATGATTCAGAGTTATCCCTGTTCTTTCAGGAAAGTGCAAGACTATTTCACACTGTGAAGTAATTCTTGTTTTCTTACCTAGAATTTAGAAAACTTAGGACAACATGCTCCACTGTTCAGCCCTAATAAAACTTGGGAACCAAATGCCCTGACTACATTACATTCCTTTACCTACCTATAAAAAGGGGAAAAGAGTAATTAATTAACAAAGGTCAAAATCTGCCTTTTACTCCCTCCTTGCCTGGGCTGCACAACAAGCTCTGGTTGTCATTATCTCTCCAGAGAGAAAACTAGTTCTTAAAGTGTTTTCCAGGATGGGCTTTTACAGGTGCCTGGTGGCATATCTGACCAGAACCACTGGTCACTACAGAACTGGTCTTTTCCAGACAAGGTCTATTTCATGTGCCTCCTCCACATGAGCTAAAGATGGCCACAGCCCAGACCTATCTTCAGCAGCTCCTATGTATGCCTCTCTGCTTTCTGAAGCCTAATCAAGACAGGAGAACTTGAGGGAAGGAACAAACATCCCAGCCCTCATTGCTCTTCCTCTTCCACTAAAAGGATGAGAAAAAGTATCTGGAATCTCATGACAAATCATGTCAACACAGCCCATAATCTCATTGTTTTATGTGTAGAAAACCCAAATAAATTATCTGGGAGCTAGATGTAAGTTGCTGCAACACGATGAGTCAATAGTTAATATATTAATCTCAGGGGAAGAAAATCGTCTCGAATCAAAGGAAACCTCATTTCATCAAGGCCTTACTGTCCCTCAAACATAGAAACCCCATCAAAGTCTGAGGATTTCCAAGCAGAGGGTAGATCAGACTTGGTCATGGTGAAGAAAGTCTTAGATAGGCACAAAGGATTTGTTAGTCAATTAACACAACAACAGAGCTGCTAATTAAACATTTTTTTTTTTCCACCAGAAACCCCTCATTATTGAAAAAGCTTCACTTTACCAGTTTCATTGTCACTGGTTAACTTGTCCTCTCTCTCTTCCCTCTCTAAAGTGCTGCTTGCTGAGGATATGCTGGATGCAGAGCAGTTGTCTTTTTCATTCACTTCCTCATTCTGCCTTTCTTTTTCACTGAGTATTGCACTTTCTTCTGGCTCTCTCTCTGGTCCTCGCTCCACCTCACTCTCTGGTCCCACCTCTGTAGCCTCTATTTCCTTGGGTGTCTCCGATCCCTGCTTGGCCTCAGCCTCAGCCTCCTGCTCTGGTTCTGGTTCTGTCTCTGTCTCTGGTTCGGGTTCACTGGCACTCACTGGTGGAGAGAACAACGGGAGAAAGAGATTCACTTAACAATGGAGTCGTCTCAGGCTCACCCCTCTAAATGAGAGTGACGTGAAAGTTGTACAAGTGCCTTATGGAAAGAAAATAAAAATCAAGTCCATGGCATGCTGAACATTAGGAGCAACAGACTGATGAATGTTGTGCAATGACAGCACTGCACGTGAGAGTGGCCTGGCAAAGCCCCTCACTTGCTGTCTGGAGCCAGCCCACTGTTTTTATACATACTTCCACAGCTGGAGTGTTAGACTCACATAAGGATTTGAACGAACCAGCAGAAAATGGGCATCCCACTTGAGCATGACATTGACAACTCAGTGCCTAAACAGAGCCAGGAAGGAAGGGATCTTTTAAAAGGCAAAAAGGAGGAAGATTGTGGCTTTTGGTTGAATTTTCTTTGGATTCTGGAAGAATTCTTTTTTCACCTGATGAGGAACACTTCAACAAAAAAATACAAGTATTAGTTTTATTAACACAGTTGAATGGTACAGTCTGGAAATGGCACTGTCACACATTTGGCTGACAAAAAACATATGTTTTTTCATGTACGTTTACTTCAGAATAGCCACATCAAAACTGGTCGACGTTTCCAACTGCTTGGCATATGGCACAAATTTAGTTTCCAGTTGGCGGGCATATGGCATACGATGAGCTTTTTTATCGGTTGGCACACAGCAAACACTGTTGATAGTACACTTGGTTTCTTCTTCCTTGCTTTATCACTGATAGTGAAATGAATTCATTCACCTTTAGGGTTTTTAGCTATAACAGCAGATTTTCACATGCAAATATTCTCTGCATGCTGCAAAGAAACTGAAGAGCATCCACACATGTTCACATCAAGCAGCTCTCAATTTTCTAAAAACTGAAAGGGCCATGCAAGAGTGATGAAAATGGTCATGCATGTTAGTTCTGCATACTTCCCAGATCCCCTCCGTACTAAATCTTGTGTTGGGTGGCTGAACTACAATGACCAAGTCATACTTGTTTGTTCCCTCTGTTAACTATTTTTCATTACAATATTGCAAAAGAGCTTTCTGGACTTGTCATGGTCTTTGTATCACATGATATACGATGAGATTTTCTTCAAGAACTACATGAACCCTTGAAGGAAAAAAAGGATCACACTGGAATGTGATCCAAACATTTCAGTCCTCTAAGGGAGCAGGTAAACAGATTTATCCTGAGAAAGTATAAGCCAAAATAACGAAGGTCACAATGTTTTCCTAAGATTGTTTCATGTGGCATGCCTATCCTATTTTCTGAGACACCCACACAAAGAATAATGATTTCTAACAATGCCTGTGCCTATCTTTACAATAACACATATGTTTTTAAACTAGTTTTCAGTAACACAGTTTCAGTACCACACTATTCCACTTCATTTCATGTAATTTAAGCATACAAAACTGCAAATATTTTTTTTGCCACTGATTTCATTGGACCTAAGCTTCTACACTTTCATAATTGTTTTTAAATGTGTAGTTAGTTAAATAACCAAATGTGCATATATAATACATTTATATAAAATAAATGTACACATAACATGTTCAATATATAGTCCATGCTCACTAAAATCCCTCTAAGATGTTTTAAGTCACTTCCAATCAGAAGCTTATCTTTCTCCCTCTTCTACATAGAGAGTATCTAAAAGTCTAATAATAGATATGCGAGCAGTTTTACGTACGCCTTGTCTCTCTAAATGTACCTTACCTATGACTGTATCCTAGACACGGACTACAAGAGAATCAAAATTATAGAGAACTGGCAAGAAGTCGGCAGACACTTTGAATCCCAGTGCTGTGTTTGTGACCACAGCTGTCAGCATGTAGGCATAGCACAAAAGCATTTTACAGTCAAGCAAAGATTTGAATATAACTGAGATGGAAGCTCAGGAATTCTTTAGGAGTTCCTGGAACTAACATGGTACCGTAGCATGAAAGACTCTGAGCTTGCCACACTGCAATGATCCATATATAAAAATGTCATCAATTCATCCTTGAATAATTATAGTTTCATATGTATTTCAGATGTTTCTCTCTAAAAACAAGAGCTGTGATGCAATAACCAAAAAAGTCAACTCCAACAGCTCAGGTGGAGAAAGAAGTGGACTAAAACGTGGCCAAGATTGCTAATGCTTATGACACCTTTGTCATCATGAAGCTACACTGAAAATTCAATAGGATAAAGTCAGGAGAGACATAAGAAATGCTTGAGAAAATGAGAATGTTCAAAAGAATTCTGGATACTCTTCAAACAAGGAATATTCCACACATACCAGAAAGATGCAGTATCTTAGAAGAATCTAATATATAACAAAGAGTAAAGAGCAATATACTGACACAGGCTGCGCTTTTGAGTTCAATGAGTATCAAAATCTAAGCACTTCTGGAACAAAACAAAGATATGTTGACACTCATTTTGACAGTCTCTCTTCTCTGTAGGGATAATATCAAACAATCCACTTATAACTCAAATAACTTGTAAATAGTGAGCTAAGTCCAGTAACACTTCCCCTAAAAAGCAGCTCAAAAATCAAATCTGTCAGCAAACACTAGCAGGAGAACAAAGCCAGAAAAGCCATCACTTGCAGTTCCATCGCGTAATCCATTGTGCTGATATTGGTGAGACTTCTACAGAGGTTAAAACCCAGAATTCTCAGTGAATGCCTGGTGGTGGCCTATTTGAAATGAGCTGGAACTTTCAGTCCCGAATCTACTGGATCCATTTTCACACCAGAAAAAACCACTACTCTAAGTGGCAACCTTTCAGGTGGCAACAGAGTTAAATAACAGACCAGGCTTTGTCCCGTCTTCAGACTTCTGCTGGTGGAGAGCACAAAGATGCAGGGAAGTAAGCATGGTCATATCAAAAAGCACCAACAGCAAAGAAAGTGTCCCTGAGACATTAAGAAGTGTGATACCATTATAAGCAACAGATTTATTTTTTTTTTTAAAAAAACCAATTCTTACACATACACAGTTCTTAAAACCTAAGCTGGGGTTGCCAGATTCAGTAGTAGAGGTAATCTTTCTTCACTTGCATATGCTATTTTTCACACTTCTCTCAAGGTTCAGCTTTGCCCCCCCTCCCCCATTAAAACAAATGAGTGAGCTGAGGTCTTTAAATGAGCAGAAGTTTTCCTTGCAATTGGATTAACCAGGAGGAGAAAAATTGAATGTGGTTTTAAGGACTAATTTTTGAGTCATATGCCCACTTCTTTTTCTGCCAGAACTTAATTTCTAGAAATGTATTACTGGAAAAAAATGCAAAGACTTCTCGGAAGAGTGAAATCTCCCAAAGAAGCTGTGTGACTTCGTCATTAAAAGAGACAGTAGCAGGGTCCCTCAATAAATGTGTAAAGATTTTGTCGTTTTGAGAGATGGGGTAATCTGCATCTTTTGACATTTTCAAGACTTGGTCATTATCTACTATAATCTGATCCGTTATGATCTGATCAGATGTTGGTGACAGCCCTCTTTTGAGTGAGAGGTTAGAGAGGACAGCAAGCTGCTCCTTTCTGAAAAACATGCCTACAAATTCATAATGCTACACAGGGACATGGAGGGAAATGACTTTTCTTTCAATACTCAACTATAAACGAACTCTGAAGCAGACACAAGATGTTGTATCTTTAGTATCTGCTGATAAAACCTCAAGCCCCCAGTCTCATAAGCCCCCAGAGAGAACAAACATCGCTTCAGGCCAACATCTAATCCCCTGCCAGGGTAATAGATCAGGCAACTGCATCTTCATCTGTTTTCTCTGCTCTCTCTTTGGAGCTAGGAGATACATACGCTAAGTGTCTCTTGAGGATGAATACAGTAAGTCTGAAGGTGGTTATACCTACCCAAGCCCTCTTGGTTCAATTGTTCAGGCATCGCTTAAAGTCTTGGTTGTTACCTCCCTTCAATTCCTCCAGCATGGGATTCCTCTTGCTGTGAATTCAGCAGGGACTGTCTCTCTTTCTCCACCCCCACCCCCAATCTTTTCTTCCCATTCCTTGTGAAGGTAAAAACAGCGTGATCACCAGTACGGAACTGGCTCTTTGGTCATCAAGTCAGAAATGATCCCCCACCCCAGTTCCTCCTCCGACTTTCTGTACCATGTTTTTTTTGGCTCTACAACTGGGGCTGCAATGGCAGTACTACACCCTCATGCTCTGGTGCTTCTCCATCTGCTGAGATGCTTTCACCAGTCATACTTTAGGCAGTATTTGAACCTTGCTCAGCTACTAATATGTTCAGAAGGTTTCCTACTGTCCACAATGTGCACTTGGGTTAGCCTGCTTACTTCCTGAAGTGCTAAAAGAGCTGCTCCTCTCAGAGAAGGGTTCATCTCCAATTCCTCTGTGGACTGACTTCAGAGATGTCTTGGTTATTGTTGCTTTCCGTTACTGCACATGTGCACTTCATAAAATATTCTCCAATTAAATTACAAAAGAGGAAGTAGCTGCTCTGAAAAACAATATTAAGTTCCATTTTGCAGTTATAGGACTGCCTTCATTTCCTCCGAATGGCATACCCCAAGTTTTACGAGACTAAGTCTTACAAGACTTGATTACTTTAGTGGAACCAATTGTTTTATATGAGAAAACACTTCAGCTCAGTAAGTCCAGATTTTTATTTTGGGTAACGATACTGAGACGTTTCACTGCATGCGACAAAGTTCCACAGACAAAATCCATTCCCTTCTTAAGCCCAGTAGATACTGGATGGTCAAAGGATACTTCAGCATGAAAAGCATAAAATAAATCTGACTCTGAAAATTCCTTATTGTTTTGCTAGTAGAGGAACACACTTTCTGTTTGACTTCAGGTTCTGAATTCTGCAGATGAATATCACGCATTTATTAACACCATTCTTGCAGAGCCTTTAGAGGGTCCTATGCACAGAACTGAGGAAGTGTTTCCTTTCCACAGTTTCATCCTTGCTTGGGAAGATGGTGACCTCCACGTTCAAAGCAACTGCTTGGGATGCAACTAATCTGGGTTCTATCCACAGCTCTATTGCAGCTTTCCTACAACTGGCTTAAGCAAGTTAATGACTCAGTTTTTCTATCTGTTGAGTGGGATTCATAACATTTCCTAAGACAGTAAAAGTTGAGATTTTAATTCATTATGGAACATAAGGAATTCAGATAATAGTCTAGAAGACATAGCACAAAATCTATAAATAAGCCTGCCAGCTGTTGGCCAATATCCAATAATCTGGCCATCTCCAGATGAGAGACCCTGCCCTGCCCACATGCTCATTACTTCATATGACCTTTCCAATGTTTTTGGTAAGCCTCAAACAGCAGTCCTTCCTCATGCACAGCTCCCACTGAAGTATGCAGATTTCAGGCCCCTGTTCTAGGGCTGTCCTGGCCATCTGTCTGCAGCTGCCCTTGGCTGGAGGCTTACCCTGCCCCATCCATACGTTCTCTCCCTGTAGTCCATTTGCTGGGCTTCCAGGTGCTGCCCTCTGATGCCTACTGATATTGCCAGGAGTTTTAGTAGAGATGTCTTGCCTACTCTCGTGTTGATAGCTTTGCCATATTCTGGCTGTCTGAAGTTGCCCTGTGCACCTGCTCCAAATGTATTCTCCAAATGGATTGCTCCATTTCATGCTGCATTTTTTTTTGAATGCTTCCAGGAGAAATATGTTAAAATAATCATCATAAAAGAGATACTTACTCCCTACCCAGCTCTGAGATCCTAATGGTGGAAAAATCCAGCTTATTTGCTCTAAAAGCAATATTGCAGTCAAAAACAATGGGCACCTGGATGTTTCTGAGTATCAGTGTTACAGGAAAATATCCATGGTTTTTAAGTTCAAATGATTCCACTGATACTTTTAAAGTGCCAGACAAGAAAACTGGGAATATAATTGGGAAAATATATAAACCTCAATTAAATAAACTTCACCTACTTAGTATGGTGAGGATAAACATATGCAACACTCAGTACTTGTAACTTCTTTCTTAAATTGCCTTGCTTTATAGCATGCTACCAGCCATAACACTCAATAAAACCAAGCAGTGCAAGTTACAAATGCATTAATCACCAATAGCACATAGCAGGAAATCAAATAAAATAAAAATGAATGATGGCGATAATTCACCCCCAACATGCACTCTAGCTCCCAATGTTAATGCAACATCATGTGGTGCCAATATGAATGTGCATGGTGGGTGTTTTTTTGAGGACTGAGGGAGGGGTACATGATGCAAGTGGCAGAATGACGTGCACACACAAAAAATATTTCTCTGTACACCAATAAATTATATGACAGCAAACCAACCGTGCAAACACTAATTATACTTTCCTTTTTACTAATTGTCTGTGGTCTCTTTTAAGTCCTTTACTACTTGTGGTACAATTTTAAGAGTTTTTGGTGGTGTTAAAAATAACCAACACACCCTCCCTGCCTTCAATTCAAGACCTTTTCTGTTTGTCCCATTCAGCCTGTGCTCTGCTGGAAGGTTATTATAATCTTGGCATTCATCTGTTGCATTTCTTTCAGAGAATCCACATAAGCAAAATCTGTTGGCAGGACTATTGTTGGTTTAGTATTCAGTAACTTCTAATATACAAGGAACATGATGCTAAAATTAAGACCCTCTGTATGCTGTATTTTCCAATTATTTCATTCTAATAGCAACAGACAATGATAATATAAATCATAGCAACAACCAGCAGTGTATTCTTTGCTTGAATAGACTAGAAGACATCCAAACCTATGCAAAAAAAAAAGGAAATTTAGGAAGACAGCATGAAACAATATAATAAAATCCTTTACTTTCGTACCTCAGAGGTTACATGCTTGCAGTCATGCATCAAAAATCACTGCTAGTCTGAGAGAAACTGATAAAACCACCGCTCATTCCCCTGCCCTCCTTTTCACTTACCTTCAGAGGGCTGAGGGGTCCCACAAGGGGTGGAAGGGGTCTTCAGCTCCTCCTGGGACTCTATGGATGCTGGGCTGATGCACTTGGGTAGGGGTGAGGATGGGGCTGAAGGAGATCTCAGGTTCAAGGACAGCTCACTTCTGCCTCGGCTTACGCTCCGACTCTTCAGCTCTTTCTCATACTCCTCCGCTGCCAACCTCTCCAAGTATTTGTATCTGAAAGTTAAATTCCAGAGGGTTTCCGTAAAGAAAAAGAAGTCTGTGGCTGATGCTTGTTTATGGATGAAACACCTGCAGAGAATGAGCTGACTTCCTGACACAAGGGGTACAGCACTAAACTGCTTGCCTGCTCAATCTGCCAAAAAACGCACAGCAAAGCAAAGACTACTGCCCTAAAAACTGTTAAATTGCTCATGACAAAACAAAAGCAGAGTTAAAGAGTCTTTAGAAATAGTATTGTGTCTGCATAGTCCTTCTCCTTTTGGAAGCAGCTGTCCGTCCTTCTCTTTACCCTCCTCCTCCTCCTCCCAGGCCTCCCCCTCCCAAAACTAAAATGGGAGGGGAAAAAAAAAAACCAAAAACAAAAGAGAAAAAAAAACTTCCAGAGCCAGAGCCCCTTAATACTGATGCAAATAGACAAAGTCTGAGACTTGCTGCAAGGAGAGGAAAATGGTTCAGTGCAGCAGACAAAAACAGATCTCCCTGAAAATAATACCAATAATAAATGTTTGGATTGACTATCTAAAGTCTCTGAACCTGCTTCTATTTGCTCAGAGAGCAATGCACTGGAATTCACTCTGTTCTCTCCAGAGTCTACAATGGAAAGTTTTCTTTTTTTTTATTCTAAAAAATTTCTCTGCCGGACTCAGACATCCAATAGCTTGTACCTGACGTCACATGTAGTTTATTCATCAAAGTCACTTTAAAAGAACAAAGATACATCTGTTTTGCATTTTAGGCAGGCAGAACTCACTAACTGTTTATTAAGACCAGCTACCAATCATATTCTTCATAGTGTGCTTTATAGATTTTGACCAAAATAACTTTGAAATATGTGCCTCTTCCAGATGTCTGCTAATTTTATCCACCAATATTTGCTAAGGAATAAATTCATGATTACAGCTGGATCAAGCTTTAGATTGTTTGTCTTACCCATAAGTGAACTGTTAAACAGGTTAATCAAGACTACTGCTTATGTCCATGAAACACTGTGGTCATCCTCCTGTAACCCACCGTTGTAAACACTTCATAACAGGGAACACCTCTCCTCCCCCCTTCTGCCTCACTGACAGTCCGAATTAGTGAACGAGGGTGCATTAAAAGCAGGCAGGGTGAAGAAGTCAGCCATACGTGGTAACAAACTTGCTTAGTACATATGGTAGCCACACACGCATGCAGATTTGCAAACATCCATATAAAGCATAGAAATGTGTCTTTGAAAAGCAGTCCTTGTGTTTTCAGAGGCAATTTGCTTTATTGCAAACAGCAATAATGAAGAACAAACTCATTTTCTTTTATTCCTCCAGAGGTATGCACAGGCTTTGAACAAATTCTGCAAGAAAAAGAACCCCTACGGTCTCTGGATGAAAATATAACAAGCCACATACTTGTATGGTTATAAAATAGGAACTGTTTACAGTTCTAACATGAAGCCAATTCTCGAGAATGATTTTTGCCTTTTCAATAGAGGAGAAAGCCTTTTGCTGGCATTAGCATAATGTCTTGTTACAGTTCATGAAGCCAGTCTTTCTTTTAACTTCGGTCACTTACGTATTGCGCCTTCCGCCTCCTCACAAGTCGAGCAGATGGGCCTTCAGACTCATAAAGAGCCATTCAGATCGATCACTTAGCTCAAACAGGTACAGCCCAGCTGGCTGCCGCCGAGGAGGGCTTTGCAGTTTGCCAACAGACTGCAACAAAGATCTGGATGGATCCTTCTATAATGAAGATCTACAATGTTTTATTGTCCTCAGCTCTTTTTCTGCTGCTTTAGCATTTTTGCTTTTGTAGCTGTGTGCTGCACAGCCAATCAGCAAAGCAGAGGACTATCATCAAGATGTGCCTTCTCAAAAATGTATCTGTTCATTATACTGAAAGAAAAAAAGGATCCAGAACAGCAACTCTTATGGCAGCACATTAGCAGAACTAGCTATCAAATGGGAAGCCTAATAAGCAGATACAGCAATTTAACCGAGAAATAAAAATCTCTTAAGAATCAGTTATTAACACTTCACACTTGATAAATGACATTTATTCAGGTTAGTTTTTGTTTCTGCCCCATGTCTTAACCATGAATGAATGAATGGCAGCATTAAATACACAAGGTCTCATGAAGACCAAAATCTGAAGGAGCTGAAAGGATGAGCTACCATCCCTCTGCTGCAATTAGGTCCTCCACTACAGGATTGAAACATTGCCTCTATAGACTGCCACATGCCTTCAAATCATGGAAACCTGCAGACATCATCATGCCTGTTCCAACTCTTCTCTATAGATAAGAGCTATAAGTCTGTGGGCTATCCATTTGGTATACCTCAGGAACATGATATTCCACTTACCATCTTCAAGTAGAAGATAGCATGGTGAGTTCTCTAGGTCTCTGACCAATGCCTGGAGGGCAACTTAAAAAGTTTATGTACCAAGTCACGGGGTGGAGAGCATTTCAGCTGTAAATCACACTAGAGAGGGCTTGGGAGCTCACCTTTCTTGGGTTTATTTTTAAATTACCACTGGAAAACACCAAACCAAGCAAAGTAAAAAAGGCCTCAAATCATCGAACAGCAAGAACACATGAAACAAATGGTGCTGAGTTACACTCAGACCCCTTGAAACTGCAGGAATCTTTCTCCCTTATACCAAGGCCACCCCAGTGCCACTGGAAAAGTCAGTGCCTGTATTCTGGAGCTCCAGGGTGACACAATAGTACACAGAATGCTCCAAAGGGTTGACAGAATTTAGATAAACCGGTGCTTTTAACGGAACCTTTCCTACGTGCTCAATATTATCTCATTTTCCAAACTGATACAGAGGAAACATACAATCCAGATTTTAACTAGGATTTTAGCACCTTAGCTATAGCATTTTCTTACAGTCCATGCATTCTCTTAAAACAAGTCAACGCGCAACTCGCTATAGGAAATGAAACTTCATTTGTGCAAAGGTGTTTGTTAAAAACCAATAGTGACAGAAGGTCAATGCAATAGACTACTGGTGCAAGATGTCACTTGCAGAAGTTTTCTCCAATATTCATGTGCTGTCAAAGCAAATCTGTCTTTCCTCTTTATAAGGAAGAACTGATAGTTTAACATTTCAGTACAAAAGAGCCCTAAGGATAAAGACACTTTCCTAATGACTAGTGAAATTGTCTCAGACTGCACAGCAGTGATGCCCTGATGGTGAACACCTCCCCAAAAATACTCCAGTTTACTTGGCATTCTCCTGTAAACATTAAAAGCGCTGGAGAGCTCACTTCTAATTTGTTTCAAATCTTGCTGATGAACATACTTGCTGCAAAAGGTTTTACTCAGCTAAGATCAGTGCATGATGCTTATGTGCTGAGACACGTTTCATTTCAGAAAACGCTTTTAAACTATTTGTAATTGTTTTGGCTGGAAGGACAAAGGAAAGCCCATCCACTTTTTATTACTCTTAGAGATGTCAAAATAATTTTTTAATAATAGCTACTTCAGCCACAATAGATCAGACTTCAGTCTGCAGAAAAGAACTGCCTCCTGTATGATGAGTTGGTGAAACAAAAAACCACCACAACAACAAACCCCAAACAAAACACAGCAACACAATGATTTCTGAGATGGCTGCTCTCACACTTTGATAATGTAAGTCCAATTCTTGCCAATCCAAAAGTATCTCCAGAGAGTAACCTCTAGAAGACCATAAAAGCAGAACTGAAGCAATCTGGATAATTTTTCATCTACTATTTGTTCAGTAATGTGCATATTTTCCAGGTAAAAACAAGAGCTCCCTCCAGGGCGTAATTACTAGTGGAGGCAGAGATGAAGCTACTGAAAGGCAAAGGTCTTTAATCGAGTATTCCTTGAAAAATGTGCTTTCGTAAGCACATAGCTCCCAGCCTAGCTAAACTATTTAATTGAATTTAAAAAAAGGAAAAAGTCCCTTTAAATACACTATTTAAATAAAACTAAAACAATGTCCCAATGATAAACACTGCGCAGTTTTGTAAATTACTCGCTGATGCTTAGAGAGATTGGCAAAGAAAACTTGGCCCTGAAAGATAAAAATGTGCCAGGAGTGGGCCAGAACCATTTCCATCAGCCTGTGACCGCAATTTTGCAATGCTTGTGACCCCAATTTCCTTTATCCTCAGTTGCCTCTTCTGACCCTCCAGAAAACTTGGGACCCACTGGGTGAGAAAGACAGGCTTATTCAATTTGTAACTATACTAAACTTGGGCAAATTTCTGAGGTAATTGGAGTAAGCTTATTTCCCACACAAATAGATAAAAGATAGATCATCAATCATTCTTATGCATTCCAGTCCCACGGCTCTTCATTTACTGCTGCGCTTACAGCTGGACTTCATTCTCCTCTTTATGAAACAACTGCTTTCTTATAGGAGTCCTTTGGAATAAAAGTGTTCTGTGCATGCAGAGTTAAAAATGTAAATACAGGACAGCTCCACAGTAAAGAATATAGGAAGTGCAAACAACCAAAGGGAAGGATGGATATACAAACCTCTCTTCTCTTGCTTGTCTTAGTTCTTCTCGTTTGTCTAAATAATCACGGCTAAAAAAAGAATTGCAGTAAATCGCAGAGGAAACCAGAAGAATAAGGTAAGTAACAGAAGTATAAGTACAGTAGGAGAAACCAAGAGCAGGACAAACAAGTTGATCAGAGACAATGAAGGCTGTTGTAGACAAAAATTTCTGATTTGTTTTTGTAAAAACGGCTGAAAAGTATGTGTGTACGCTTATCCATGCATACATCACAGCTATGTATACACCAAATAGGTAGTTCAGAAGGTCATTACAAGTAATTATAAAAAAAACCCCTGAAAGTGAAGAACTTGAAGCACATTTTGAAACCTGGTATCTGAAATTAGATACAATGAACCAGACTTGTCCATAACAAGCAGGCACAGCAGGGGCTATTAAACCATTCCTCATTTGCTCCATCTAGAATGCCCTGAAACGCTGACCGCGGCACCTGGCAGGCTAGACCAAGGCAGGGAGCCCACCGTATCGGCCCTCTTTCTAATATGCCTTTCCTTGGTGTGTTTTAGCTGCCACAGCTGGAAACGGGACAGCAGACTGACATTACTGAGTAGGACAATTCTTCGTTCTTACAAGGCACACACAGGATCATCGGACAGGTAACAACCTTTCAGTTCTTTACTTTTCACCCTGAGTTTTAGATACAAACCTCCCTCTATCTCAGCTGTCCCTCCCACAGCTCCTCAAGTAACTCCTATATTTAGTTTTTGCCAAGTCAACTTTGCTGGACGCCTGAGCACTGTGATTTCAGGCAGGCCTGTCTCATCCACAAATGTTGATGCCAATTTAACTCAGAGCACAGCAGAACCCAGTGAACATCCAGCCTGCCTCAATATCACAGCAAGATAGCTCCTTACAATATATTTTTAATATTTCGTTGAATCTGGTAGACAAAACTGATGAGACTTTCACCTTATCTTCCACAGCGTAACCTCTGAGTACCAGAAAGATTTTCAGAACTACTCCATTTATGAATAAAACACTATGTTTTCTCTTTATATTGTGTCATCAAATGAATTACTTATCATCTACTATACCAATAGCTACCAAACATCTGCTTGCAAGTTCTCTTCAAAAGTCCATTAACAGGGAACACACATTACTATTTCAGGCTATCTCCACATCCTTTGAATCCCTGGACTGGTTATACTTTTATAATCTTTTCAGAGTATTCTTTGGTATTACAATAGCTATGGGAATAACTCCAAGGGAAAAAAAAAATAGCCTAGGAATTTTTCAGCAGGCAGATTTTAACATTACTTTTTCCTCTCTGATAACTTTCACCCTTCCCTACAGCTGAAGAATATCCTTTGTATTTTAGAACATATTGTTCTATACATGCAACGGGTACAATAGTCCTTCCACTGAGAAAAATGTTAGTTATGTAAATCATTCCTTTTGCTAGCAATAGCTTATGAAGCTTTTTAACACCTCTCCTCAAACCAAGCTCTTTCACAACTGTTGATGCTCTCCTTTAAATTATCCTCAATTTGTCAATAATGGTGCCAGAACCTAGTGCAATGTTCTTGAGGCAGAGTTGGAAAGAATGAGATAGCAAATGAGTCATGATGGTAAATCCATTACTGCTCACGAGTTTAAAGGCTGTGAATTGCAAGTGCTATTTTTAATCAAAAATACATCTTCAGAGACTGGGTTTCTAGCCAGACTGATGATACGATAATGTAATACCAAGAACTCTTATGAAACTGTCCATGAGTGTTTGCTGTGGCTTTGTCCTCCTCCTGCCAGACTGTTTAATCAACTGTGGGATGCTGTCTGTCTGCAAAATTTGGTGGCTTTGGAGACCTTCGACTCAATCACAAGTTATAACTTTTGGGTGACCAGGGAACTCAAATCTAGAAGACGAAAACACTGGGCACTGAAAAATTGTTATCTTAAATATGCAACACAATGATGACGTTTAGTTAACCAGTTTCTGACTCTGGAGTAATGGGATGAAGATGTATATTTAAAAAAATTTGGTTTTCTGACTTTAAGGAAGCTCTTTCAGTGACAGAACAACTACTGTAGCCAACCTCTAGTGAAATGTGCAGATCTGTTATTCAAACAGGTCAAGCTGCCAAATGTCCTGGTGGCTTTTTCGGTCTGGGAGTTTCCTTTCTGAAAGATCATGTTGGCTGTCCACGGTAGCCTGTTGCAGCCTGATGATACCACTTAGAGGGAGAGTTTTTGGAAGAGTCTTGAAGACGGAGACCTGATTGTTTCTGTTTCAGGAGAACTGGGGCAGCTGTTGGCTGCCAAAGATCCTATTATGGTGCTCTTCCACCTTCCCTCTGCCTCTCATTTTCTTCTAAACTAGCTATCTTCTGGAGCCAGGAGAATATCTCCTTCAACCAACCAACCAACCACTAGGAAGTTACTGCTCTTTCCAAATTCACTATGACACAGACCATTTCCACTTCTTACTAAAGAGATGATTACAGTGAAAACAATCCTGCATACTAATAAACAAGCTCACATGAAACCCAGTGCCATCTTTTCCATAAATACCAACTCAAAGGCTATGAAACATTTATCCTACCATTCTTTAGATTACTACATTATGTCTTCTACTAAAAATATATTTACTTTTCACTGTTGTTTATGAGGAAACAAATTGCTTTCTTAGTGTTCACTCTTCAGACAGTAGGCAAACCACTTCAGGTATGGGCTCCTTATCTATCCTAAGCCCTCTGCAGTCTTTGCTAATGCCTATGCTCGGATTTCCAGGCATGGATTTAACAGGAGGAGAGGGTTTGTCTCTTATGATCCTCAGGCAGCACACCCTGGGATTCCACAGCACACAACATGTTCTCAGATGTGAAAATGGAGAGTGCTTTGTTCAGTTGGGGCCTTTGTCGGGTCACAGTTTGAGCAGTAATTTTGATAATTACTTTCTGTCAGTTGCCAGGAGAAAGAGACACATATTCAGAAAACCAGGAAAAAGTAGTTTAAAAACACTACCATACATCCTCAGACAGCAAAACACTTTCACTTTGTGGAACATAAAAGCAAAGATGTCTCAGTGCTGTCCCCTCCTCCCTTCTTGATACCTTCCTCCCACTGTTTGATCTTCAAACCCTATGCCTCACCAAGATTATACTTTGAGGAGCATATTAGCTAACAAAACCTGGCTTCTGCAGATAACCAGACAGTATAATTGGCAAATACATAGCTGTCTTTATCATGATATGTTTGATATATCAGTTCTTAAGATACTTAGATCAAGAAAGGTATCTAAAAAGACACATAAACTACTCATCAATTAAATTCTTTTGCCATTGAATGGCTCAGTGATTTACAAATCCATCACACATTAAAGCAACAGACTGAAATGAAACTTGGTTCCTACTTGAATTTGTTTCTTTCTTCACGTTCTATCCTTTGCAACCTTTCTTCTCTCTCCTGACGTCGTCTTTCTCTTTCTGCTGCCAAGGACTCCTGGTGCTGCCGAAAAGATGATGTAAGGAGACCACCCAAAGCTGGCCTGCAGAGAAGGAAGATCAGATTTCTCTGTGTCACTTTTATTGATTATACTGGCAAAAAATGAGTAGCAATCATTCGGCAAGTAACATAATCCCAACCAACAGAATGACATGGCAGTATTTATGTATGGATGCTTCAAAGCATTGGCTAAGTGTCTGTTTGCTAAATTGATTTTAGATACTGTGATGAGCTTAGGAATGACAGATAGGGTAGGCTTCTAAAATTGCCAAATTTCTGAAGCACAAATAAAGCATGTGTAAGAATTCTCCAGTCTATTTCAACTGCAATATTGTCTAAATAATTTTTTTTACTGTATAATCCTGTTAACTGAAAAGTTGAATCCTGTAAAGAAGTTTTGAAATTTTAAAGAAAAAAAAAAAAAGCTGGAATATTCTTCCAGCACTTTCCAAACATGTTACACAATGATGTTAAAAACAGATGCGTCACAAACACCTGAGAATCCTGTGCACAGAAAAACAAAAGTAAAAGAAGATGCCAGAACTGCCCTTCAGAATTTGAATGCTCTCTTAAGTAGGGGCATATTTTTTCTTTATACTATAACAAATTCTGTTATCATAATTTCCTTGCTGCATGTGCTGCAAGAGCAAAATGAACCACATATAGGAATGTATCAGTAAAATACACAGGGACAGCACAGCTAGTTATAATAATCCTTCAGTGGCATCAAAATTGTTATAAAAAAATCAGAGGAAATTGGGCTGGAGGAGAACAGATTATCCATTTTCCTCTCCTTGCCCAGTGCAGGATTTAGTCTTCTCAAACCATTCTCAAAAACCGTCTGAACTGCCTTAAAAATCCTTAATGATGCACACACTACACCCATTTAGTGCTTAACTACCCTTGCCAGCAAGAAAGGCTTCTCTGTTGTCTAGTCTAAATTTCTTTTTTTTGCCATTTAGACCCATTTGTTCTTGTTCTGTCCACAGTGGACAAAAAGAAGCATTTCCTACCACCTGCTTTATGGTCAAGCAAGAATTAGTCCGAAAGCAGACTTTCTCTGCAGTCCTCTGACCTTAACTACGAACTGGATGCTCCACGGTAGGTTACTGTAATGGAGACGGCTCAATGTCCCCACCAGCAATGCATGTCAAACTTTTAGCTGTTGTTCAGGAGGCTGTTAAGATGCATGACATAAGGTGAGTAAATGTCCAGCCAAAAAAGTGGGACATTTTTTGTCAGAAATGGCAGACGCTACAGTAAAGATTTCTCAAATATGTAAACAATTTTTAATTTGAGATTAAATAGCTTCAAGTAGCAAATACACTTAAAAAAAGCTACATTTATATCCACTTATAGTTTGGTCTTGACACAGATTTTTTATTTTTTGTTACTGCAAGTACTACTTTGGCTAGGAGAGTGGCTCCCCTCACACATCTTTACCCCAACATGGCGGTATTGGTACCACCGACCTCTCACGTGGCAACAGAGTGACCTCAGAGTAAACACGTCTGTCTTTCCGTCTCTTAGTCAGGAACAATCTGTATTGTACAGGGTAGCTTTATACAGATGTAAATGTATCCACACTGATTGAATTAGACTGATAAAATCAAAAAGACATAACGCATGTAGAGCGGTTTCTGTGCATTGTTGTAACATGTGTTTTGCAATGAAAGGATTAATGAGAGAAATAGATATTGCCTTTTCCGAAAAGAAACTAAACCCCATCTAAAGGAAAGTTCCCATCCAGCAATGCAAATCTGAATAACTTTTAATTATTTTTAAGAACTCAGACCCTTTCCCTTATTTATTTACATGCTTATGGCTGCACAATGGGGGCATTTAGTGTAACGATACCAGTTCACCAGTGAAAATCGGTGCAGAAGACAAAAACATTAATGCAAACCTATCTTCCCTGAGTGTCTATGTCTGTGCAAGCAGGAATGCCACAAAACATAGCTACATAGCCATTTCAGCCCCATTGGCAGCAGGGCAGTATGAATATAATTTCAATAATTTCAATAAATTGAATTTCAATATGTCATATCTCACCCGCATAAACATTACATAAGATGGTATAAAACTTGATATTCTGTAAGCCTTTTTGCTGGCATTCCTCCAGAGCTACAGTATCAATGCTGGATCGCACTCAAAACCATAAAAATCTCTAATATGCCTCAGCACTCAGAAAACGGAAAAAAAAATCCTCAAACCCTGACAATCAAGTACGTGTGGAGAATTTTCCCTCGAACATATTTTAAATTTATTTTAACTTTTGACCTTTTAGTGCATGTTTCAAGAGAAAGCTCTCAGCCGAAACAGTAGCACCACTGTACTAAGATTCAAAAGTCAGAGTTCCATCCCTGTGGTAGCATGAAAAAAACACGGCAATATGGTTGGCCATATCATCAGAAATCGCTCTTGGAAGGGGAAAAATGGACAGTGCCTCCACATGAAGACATCTGGAAATAAATGGGAAGAGATGGCAAAAAGAGGGTCCCTATCAAGTCTGTGCTTGTGTTTGTTCTGTGTATTTAGCTCACTATCCCATCCCGTCCCATCTCATCCAGCTGCCCTGAAGTCTGCAAACTCCATTTGGAGTCAAAGGAAGTTACAATTTAATAAAACCTGAAGGAAAATTAAGGGGAAGGATGGGGTGATGCTCAGAGACCAAAAGAGTGACTGTAGGTCTGCACAACATCTAGCAGGTTGGAAACCTTCTGCTCTGACTAAGCTCTTTGGGGCTCCACAGTAAGTATACATTCTTATCCAAGGGATTACAGGGGAATCACATGGAGATGTGCAGCTTAGTCCTGCAGACGCGATTCTAACCTGACCCTGGTAGTAAAATGTCTCCACATGCCAAAACACCTTGTTTGGAGGTTTGATCTAGCACAGTTTGGCTAGCGTTGCTCACTTGGCTAAAATTTGCAGATGTATGAACAGCAGCCTCACAATCTAAATAAAAGATCCACAGCCATATAGCCAGAAAAAAAGCCAATGTCTAAGAAACTGGAACTGAATATCCGTGTGCCATATTAGTTTGCCACCTCTTGGAAACTAATCAAATAAATAATAACTAGCGAAAACTTGGTATTTCCCACTGGTTATTTTATGAGTCCATACTTCAGCTGAGTTGCGATCTACAGTATAGCATGCACGCACATATCTGATTCAATTAATTTGTCCCAAACACAGTCAGTTCTGGACTGCCATATTGCATACAACAGTTCATTGCACGAAATGGTCAAAACTAACAGTCAAAGCTGTGAGAAGGTTCTGTTGAAATAGGACATAATTAAACGGACAGGAATATGGCCAGCTGACTCCTTGTGTGGCACTGATATTGCTGAGTTAGTGCTTGCTTAATGGTTAGGCCCTGCAGTGTCCAGCTCACTCAACTGGACACACCTCCCCTCAGTGAAGACCACACCTCACACCAAATGCTGAGACCATTTCTCTTATGAAACGTCATAAACTCACAGTTTCACTGTTGCTATCAAACATTGTAAGTCAACTGGCATTTGGGTGCATCAATCCTCTTTTCAATATGAACTGCAACTGCAAATGGGCAGATTCTAGTATCTAGTAAACTCTATCCTTAGTTTTCTCTATGTGCATCAACTAAACCTGGAGGAAACAGTGTAAAACAGCCAGAAGGAAGAGCAAGTGGTAAGAGGTATTCCTCAAATATTCTAAACAATTTGAAAAGGGATTTGTCTATGTTTGGCTTGTCTACAAAATCTTTTTTTTTGTCTCTCTATTCCCCTGGCAATAATGTTTAAAGCAAACGTTCCCTTTCGCTGAACTCATACTTGAATTGCAAATGGCAGTGGGACTGGCCAAACCAGCTGGCTGGAAGGCTTGGGCTGAGCCTTGAGATAATTCTGGTGCTTTGACGCTGTTGAAAGGGTGACAGTACCTTCAGGCCTCAGGAATATTTAAGTCTTACTGTTGTAGACTGCATTTTAAAATTGAGTAAGCAAGGAAAAAGCTAAAAAAAATTCTGGCATTGAATCAAAGGTGGTAAGAGATTTTAACAGAAAAGAGTATGTGAATACTCAATGAAAGCACAATAGACCGATCACTCACAAATGTTACCAGCTGGTAATATCAACCATTTGTTCAATTCCACAAACACAATCCAGAACGATGCTTACTCTGACTACTATTTTTAGTCTTGTAAAGAACATAGGGCTATTAAGAATGGACTGTTAACATAAAAATATTAAGAAAAGCTTTCTTCTGCCTGCTGTTAAAACCAGAAAAAGCTAAACAAGCTATGTTATTACACTCATTCCAGAAAGAAAACACACAACTAGAATACATGTAAGTCTGGGGATTTGTGAATATAGCTCCACACCACGGCACTAGGACCTAGGGCCAAAGAGGCCATTAGTTACTTATCTTGTTGGAAAAAGATAGGAAAGAGCAAAGAACAGGAAAAAAAAGAAGGAAAAAGAAGGCAACAAATATACATAGGGCAGAGGATACAAAGCCAAAACATTGATTATACGCCAAAACTCTTCTGAATAAAAATTCATCTAACCTGACCTACTGCATTTAACACAGCAGTGAATTAGTAATCATTAAAAACACAAGCTCAGGGAGACACAAGATATCTCACACTTTTTTGCAAGTACCTGCAATTTTCTGACAATAGTACATCACAGATTATGTATTGCGAAGGGGAATATGTGACCTGAATTACTCTAATCTTGTTGAAAATTGAAGAAAATATTTCTTACTCTAAGCTACTTTGTTCCAGCAAAATTGCAATTATCAACTTCAAATGTTCTTCATTCGTGTTAACTCTGAAATACTCTTTTGTGGCTATGTTTTCCTCCTTTAGTTGAATTTTTAAAATTTGCTAAATGGAAATGGGTATCTATAGCAAGAATACAAAATACAAATGTATTTTTTAGGCGATTAAAAAAAAATCAACAGATGACTTAGGAGAGAAAATCCCTTTAGGTCATAAGGTTAATATTCAGGATTTTCTTTAATATAACAAGGGTCAGAATCATTAATAACCTTAGTAAG